AAGAGAAATAATTAAAGTGAAAATAAATTGAAAAAATATTAAAGAATGCAGCAGGTATTATTTTAGTGTACATCCAAGATTTAATGGATTCTTACGTAAGATCTATAATTAGATCTTGGGTGCAAGATAATACAGTTATCTTGCACCTGAATTTCCAAGATCTGTTAACAGATCTGTACCTTGTATCTTGGCCAAGATCTTGCTTACAAGATGTTTGTCTAGGGCTTGAATTAAAGATGATAAATTGTAATACTTGTTTAGTCTAAAAGTGAAATAATACTATTGAGACAATACTCGTAATCTAAATAAAAAAGATGATAAAAATCTCATATAATTATCGAAGGAATAATTCATTTTCTTATTTTTTAACACAGCTATGAAAGAGTTGACATTGTTAACGAATTCGTAGCAACATATATCAATACAAAATCGATCTAGTACTGAATCAGAAATTGAACAAATATCATTAGTTATTGATGTTCTTGTGCTATAATAATAATTATTTCATTAGGTAGATCAACAAGATGAACGTTATTTCGATGCATGTTTCAATGTGTTCTGTAGAGCACAATTTTTCAGAGATTCACAATTGATTTGTTTGTGATTAGTGGCGTAACTAGGGGTGGGCCAGTCCTGGCGCCGCCAGGGCACCGGCATGTCTTGCCAGGGCACCGGTCAAAAGAAAAAATTAATAAGCCCTATTAGAATGGTTGTAGTTTATTGTTGTATATGCGATGCGATAGCTATGAAAAAAACAACTAGTAAGTGGCATCAATCGAATAAACTCTAGGCATTAATTAAATAGCATTATCAGTTGCTGGTTTATTTAAAATTTTTGTATATACTATGGTATACAAAAAAACTTGGAACAGTCTTACATTATGAATATTTAATATTTTCTAGATCTTCTTGAGGCTTTCTTTTGCAGTTATTTTAGATTTATACTAGGCAGATGATCTACTAAAAAGTTCCATATATTTGATAAAGTTCTATTGTATCATGATATAACAATAATCTGATGTAGCAAAGACGCACTCTCTCAAATAACATGATATTTCTTTATTACATTATTAGAACATCTAAACTCGTTGCGTCCGATAAATCCACCGATATATAAAGATACTACTGTCTATAATTAGTTGCTCATTTAAATAAGATCAGAACTCGTTGCTTTCTATAATATCGAGCATTCGATGGTTGGAAATCTGCTATTAATGCCCAATACAGCCGAAAATAAGGTCAATTTATCGACGAGATTGTCAAGTGATACGGAAAAATCATGTTGAAAACGAACATGAATAAGAAAAATATGTGGTTTATACCACAAAAATCGCGTACCATTTAAATTTTCTGAAAGCTTTATACTGAAATATTTATAATCAATTCAATTAATAGCATAGAAAGTGGATGTCTTTTGATTATAGAATCAAAAGAAGAATGAATCGTACATTGAATCAGATATTACACAACTGTGAACTGATATCTTTTAAATAGAGAAATATATTTTTGGAAACGGTTGAACTAGCCCCTAACACAGACTAAAGATTTGTTCCAAGTTTTTTTGCAAACCATTGTATATATCACATCAAAATAAGTAATATTGATTACTTTATAAGTAGTGCATTAAAAACCAGAATGTCTGATTGTCATAAGAACAGCAGAATAATGCTGAAGTAGCTTTTGTTGGTTTACTTTCTTCCTAACTTTTCTTTTTGCTGTTTAGTTTAACTTAATAAAATAGCAGATACATTGTTTTTGTCTCTCTCTGTAGTTGAACGAAAATTGGGAGATTCAGTTGAGCTTTGGGGAAAATTAACTACTGTGAATACTTTCTTTTAACGCTTGTAAGGCACCGCCAGGGCACCCACAATTTTCTGGTTACGCCACTATTTGTGATTTTTTCATCAGCCAGTTGTTCAAACTAGAGGGTGTGTGGGTGTGGGCAGATTCAAAGAAAAATTTCGAGAACAAAAGTACCGCATCATCATAAAAGTAAAATCCTATCTATTTTTTTCTATATCAATTGATAGAAAAGGATGAGTTCTTTGTCTAGTAAATTAACAAGGGATTTCGTCACTACGAAAGTAAGATGAATCTTATACGCTCTACCATCATCACTTACAATAAATTTACTTCATGTAGTTATTCAAATACTGCCCAAAGAAATAATATCTGAAGCTTATGAAGATCGAATCGATTAACTTTAGATTCTAGATAAAAACAAACTGATGGAAAAGTATCTTCTATTCTATTAGCCCTTATATTGAAATCGGAAAGCAAGAAAAATTTTCACTACCATCAATAAATCATTACAACGTATCATTCTATCAGCTGAGTTAAGTTCCTGAGTTCCATAAAGATTGAAAGAAAGGCAGTCTCTACTTGTTGACTCAGATGAGTAGTAGTGTATATTTACCGATTAAAGTGGAGTCTCCGTTATTTGTTGATAATGACAGAAAGTTTAAAAATAGTTAATATAGATATTTCTTTATTGGTATCGTTTGATTATAGGAAATCCTTCATCATAATTCTATATAAAATATATCTAATATTTCGATGATCTTAAAAGATTTGTTCATTATCGGAGTAATCAAATTAATTTAATGAGTTCTAAAAGAAAAACGAAATCCAAAACTTTTTTGAATATTTCTCATCCTAGTTACTTACTTCAATAATAAGCAAGAAAAGCAAGAAAATAAAATGCTTTCATACAGAAAACAAAAAGTAGAGAGATACTTCCACGTTCGTCGCCGAATGTACTGAAGATTTCAGCTTAGAAAAATACTTTCAGGAACCAAGAATGAAAGAAGAAAATAGAACGAATGTAGAATATATTAGGTCATGATTTGAGTTTTTCCTGAATGAATCGGATTAAAGCAGCGATCAACTTAGATTACCTGATCTCAGAATAAATATTAGTACGATCTATCAGATGCATATATTTCCTTCCTTCGAGAATAGTAAATTCTTCGTATATCTACGTGCATTGTTCACTGATAAATTAAATGGACAGTAGTATTTCACAGAGAGGCTTCGAATAAACGAATGTTTCACCACTCTTTAGGAATAATACTCTGCATCTATAGTTTGCAAAGATATAAAACAATATCATTAATCGTTTTGTTGTTGTAATGGTATTATACTATATTTTGCTCCTTCTCAAAACATACTATCGTCTCGTTTACATGAAAAACACACGTTTATAGGCACAGCCATGATTCATAACAGAAGGAGAATAAGCTTGTTCACAATACACAGTAACACAGAAAGAACGATGACGGACATTGATCAATAAAGATGATAGACTAAGGTTAAATATCACGTATAAACAATCAATTTCAGCCTATCTAGGGGAGTAGAGTAGTATTCAATGGAATCCATCGGAAACGTTATAGTTCAGTGGTCTTAACAACCAAGATATTTTGCTTTAGAAATGAGTAAAATTCTCACATAAAATGGGTCTACGAAAATTAGTCGAAAATTTTGTAATAGAAGAACAAAAGCTTTTTCTTTAAAAGCAGCCCGAACCTTGTAGTGTAAAGCTGAAACTGTCACTAATTGCATTATCATGTTTATATTAGAGGAAAATAGTGATTCGGACAAATAAATTAGGCATGCATAATAAACGAAAGGTAGTTTAGAACTTACGAAGAAGACTTTCTAATTATTTTAGCAACGTTGCCTGCTTTGAGAACACAGTGACCATCTCACCCACACCCACACCCTTAAGATAATACTTATTGCTTTTTATATGTACACGCTCCGAAATGTAATGCTATTCCTAGGCAATTCTCTCGTTGTATAGGAAGTTGTTCGGTATTCAATATTGATTCTCTGATAAAAGAAAAATATGAAATATTATCAGAAAGGAAAACAGAGATCCAAGAATATAATTCAATCATATTTATTTATTTTTTATGTATACAGATTTAATAAAATTTCATTAAAATATAGAAGAAGAGAAAAAAACAAAGGTACAACAGCAAAAGCTGATATACTGTTATTTGTAATGCCAAATAATTTCTCAGAAAAAAAAAGAAAAACATTTTGCATAAAAAGCAAACTACGATAAGAGATCAATTGAGAAGAAAAAAACGATCAAAATCTTTGTATATATATACGTGTAATACACTGTTAAAAAAGAAAATCAAATTGTGTGTGAGTGACTAGGGCCAACTAATTTGTTAGAACAGAAGCATTTTCTTAAAAATATATACACTATCTGTTTTCTGTAGTTGCTGTTCATATAATTCTAAGATTCATTTAAAATAGTTGAAAGCAAAAACGAAATCTTATATATTGATTTTCGACGGTGATCTTCTTAGTGTAGTATAAGGTGTTAATCGAGGAAAACTCGGTGATGCCATTGAAAGATATGAAGGCGATAGAGAAGTTATTGGCATTGGTGTGGATTCTTCTGAAGAGAGAAAACAAATGAATATATTACCATTAATTTTTTATTGAAACTAACCAGTTTGTCTTGTTGGAATATGAATATCACATTCTATTCGAAAGAAATACAATAAAATATAAATATAGATATGAATAAATATTGTTTACCATCAAACACAGCTATCGGAGCATTACTAGTTGGATCAATGTCTACATTATTTGTCTCGTTGATTTGAATATTTGATCGAATTGAATTAAAACCTGGTTTAACACCATCACTATTCAGTGGATCACGTGGTATTAATTGAGGTACCATATCATTCAATGTTTTATCTATATTCAAAAATTAGTTACAATTGGAATCGAAAATAACTTTTGTGATATATTTATCAACTGAAATCAACTATAAAGATACTTGATGGGCTAGGGTAGGAAATTTTTCACTATGAATTTCTCTTGTTAAGAATTATATTTAAAGTCTTAATTCAACACCTAGTTTATGTAACGAATTAAAAAGAATGCTACACATCGATAACATCTTCGCCGGCATAAGCTACCAATCCGTATCGTGACTTAAAAGTAATTCATTAGTTCGAGAATTATTTCATTTTAAGTAGCATCTGAAACAGCCCTAAGGAATTCTTGTTTCATAGAAACTAAAAACTGAACTTTTATTTATTTCGTTACGATAATACTTACAACTCATCAAAACAGGTTCTTTTAGTTTTGAATGTGGTCGTCTTCGTTTAGTCTAAAAAGCACAAATAAATAATAAATATATGATTGATTCAAAATTGCACAGCTATTTCGTGCTCTTCTTCTTACTTTAACATGTCTAACAAGCATAAAACAACAATAAGCTGGAAGCCCAACGCCAACACAAGCAGCACCAGCAACCGCAGCCAAACAAAGAATGATAGGTGCTGCTAAAATCTTTCCACAAAGAATTGAACCTCGTATAAGACGACGTTTAAATGGATGATCTGGATAAAAACGATATTTGCAACCGAGTACACTTAATTCACTGTAATGATCACCTAAAATACATATGATAATAAAACGATAGACTAATCTCTTTTAAATGATTTATTACCTATAAATTTAATATCTCGAAAGCGGCCACCACATTTATAACAAAATTCTGTTTTACATCGTAGACAAACTATATGATCACATCCTTTAGTTCGCTGAATATATACCTTGAATAATAATAATAATAATATCAATAGATAAATTTAAAATAAATAATTAAAATTTGTTACTTTGCACGATGGACATTGTTGCGCATTATGTTGTCCATAATGAACTTCTCTTGCCCATTTTTTTAACATTCGATCGCCCCGACGAAACTCTTTACATTGTATACCATCATGCCAAGGTGAATGACATTGAAAGCACCAAATTAAATTACATTCAACACATTGAACTTTTGTTGGTGCACGACGCATCATACGAAAAACTTCTGGATCTAAAGAAACGAACAAAATTAACGAATTAATCATAAATAAAAAGATCGCAATCAATACCTATTTCATGTATATTTGAACATCTTGGACATGTTTTTATATTATTTGCACGATTTGCGTCAACTAAAAATCGTGTAAATTTTTGTCGTAATTCTGGTGATATACATCGTTTATATATTTCATCTCGATGCATATAGATTTTGCATTGTTGATTTGGACATTGTATTCGAACAATACCTCTTTTAATCTGTTCTTCAATATAAATATTTAAACATGTCGAACAGGCATAAAAATTACAACAAGCTCGTTTTTGGAGACGTTTCATTTCGCAACATATACTGCATTCAGATAATGTTTCACATAAACTTGTATGATGATTCAGTAAAATAATAGTGGGATCAATATCACTATGTTCTTCGTCAATTTTAGGGTCAAGCTCAGATGATATTGATTTATCATCATTTTCTTCATCAGAATTTTCTTGAGATTTAATTGTATCTGTTAAAAAACGTCTATTTAATGTGCTATGATGAGATGCCGCTGATGTCGATGATGATGTTGATGATAGTGGACGTGTATGATTTGATGGTACACTATTTTTTCGAAGGTGAACCATCGTAGATGATGTAGTTGTTGGCTGTTCGGCAAGAGCTGAAAGAGCGGTACCCGTCGCTTCACCTGCTTTACCTGTTAATGCTTGATTATACAAACGACGTGTAGAATGGAGTGTTGTCGGTGGTTTTATTAATGGATAGTTCATATAACGTTCGAGAACTTGTCGTTGAGCGGGTGTTAATGGTAAATTAGCACGAACATTTGGATGACGACTACCACGTTCAGAATGCCATCGTCGTTGATTGCCTGTTGAAGTAGCATTGGTTGTTAGAGTATTATTTGAATAGGTTATGGCTGATGATGTTTTTAGATTATTTCGAAGTAAACTATCGAGTATAGCTGTGGAATCAAGAAGAATCTTTCGATTAAACGATTGAGTTTTCGTATCATTAGTATCAAGACTTGAACAGTAATAACAATTATTTGATGTTTTATTTTCATTTGCTAACAATGTCTCAGCAACATGTTCAAGTTGTGTTGTATAATTTTTTTGTATAACAGCATATGAACATGAATGATTTAAATGTTTTTTTCCGCATGAATCATCAACATTGGGTGTTGATGATGAGCAACAGCAACCAACAATATTTTTATTGTTAATTATATTTTTGGTTAAATCTAACTGATGAGTATCATCATGAAATAGATCTAAATTAAATAATGAGCAATGTTGCCATTGCTTTGCATCGTGATGATTTATTGAGGGTGAAACAGCTGCTTCTTGTTGTGCACTGTTTGACATCTAAAATCTGTAAGCAATGATATTAAAAAATATATTTTTGAATGCAATAAATAAGCCATGGTGATAGTAGTGAGAGAAAACAAAAATTAACGTCGATGATGAAGATGATCATTGAGTGTTTTCTTTTTTTATTTTTACTTTGGACAAACTTCATTTGATATATATTTCAGCCAATCAGAAATCTACTATGTTTGACGACGAGTTACATCAATGTTGACAAGAGAGGAATTAATATAGCAACGAGAAATCTGATGAACTCCAAAGAAAATTCAAACAGATCAAATTTTTATAATTATATTTTTATTAATTAAAAAACTTTTAGTACTTCAAATTGAGGACTATACAATTTACATTATATGTAAATCATTTAAATTGTAACACATTATTACTAGATAAACGATAAATACTGCGTTTTATGTAATATTACATATTTTTGCAGCTAAGTGTTATACTTATCATAAATAAAAATCTACTCCTAGCAAACATTAATACGAACACTCTGTTCAATTTTAGCAATCTTTAACACATACTATTTATTACTAGTACTTTGTTCTTAATATACCAAAGATAGGAATATAACATGAAAAAAATTACAACCTACTGTATAAAAAATCTTGATTTCATATGAAAACTTATGAGTAACAAAGTACTACTGTTTATATGTGAAGAATCAATAGATAAAGATTGATAATGTGTGTGTGTGCCTAAACCTTTATTATAAGATAGTTAACTTGCAAATTCAATTCTATTGGATATTTTTCTTATCTCCACTCTCTAGTCTTCTAACGGATACAGTTGTCTTATATAATTATCACATGATAAAAAGAAACAATTTGACGATTGTAAATCTAGAGTCGAAACTAATTTGAGCAATTTGAGAAGAGCTTCTTCTTCTCGAATAGGATTCATGCATTATTTTAATAATATTAACTTCAGTATTTTCTAATGTTAATTGTGTTTATTTTATAAAAAAAATAAATAAAAACACTCAGAAAAATAAATGGAAGAAAGCTTAAGAAATAAAAATAAAACAGAACATAGCGAATAGAAAAATAATGAAAAACATTTTCCTGTTTGCAAATATTATCATACATGCACATTCATGACGAAAGACAATGAACAACTATAAATTAGTTTTTTTATACTGTTCTATTGATTAAAAGTGAAGTAAAAGTAAACACTGGGTTCTAAATATCATCTTTTAGTGATATCATAAGAAAGAATAATAGTTCAACTGTTTTTTTTTTGTTTTCTTTTTATCAACTTTGTATCTTACATACTCATTGCACTGATAACGAACAAAAGATTAGACAAATAAGATTCACTGAAATTTAAGTCATGATGAACATGCAGGCATACAGAAAAGAGAAGAAAAGAAAGTTGAATACAAAAGCACACCGTCGGCTTTATAAAACTAGGAATATTCTGTTTAAATTTATCAAGATTATTTAGTTTTAAAATGGCTGAGAAAATAATGAAAAATATTTTTATGATTGTAATATAGATAAATTATGCAATATATTTGTATTCATCTGTTGAATTTCGTTCGAGATATTGTTTATCAATAAGAATTTCAATACATATTTTAATCAGATGAATCGATGGTAAAAACCGTTGTTTTGATTGTGTTATAACTTCTTCTATTAATAAGTTATGTTTCTGTGTTTGTCTTGATTTCATTATTCGTACAATAATAGCTTGAATAAAAATTTTTCGATCTTCATCCAAATTTCTTTGGGTTGCTTCAGAATCCTTAAGGAAAAATGAAGTCAACAATTTAAGGTCGAAAATCAATGAAAATTCACTTACTTGGTTCGTTTCTTTTTGTGTAACTAAAGGAAGTTTAAATTTAGTTCGTTTACTTTTAAATTCGAAATTTACTGAAATCAATGATGTTTCAATCAAATCAATCTAAAGAAGAAAAATAAAAATAATCTAGGGAGAGTTCAAAATAATTTCTTTTCTCAATGTTCTTTTTGTTCTCATATCTCATCTCTAAACGCGCATACAAACGCAAGTACTACTAGTAAAACACTAGTTGAACAAATTGATCAAACTAAGACTAATTGTCATCACAGAAGTTAGTAGCAATTGAAGTTTAATTTTTATCGAAAATTAAAAAGAAAATAGAGAAATCTACACTAACTGTTACCAGAAATGGCACCTTACTACGTCAAGCTTACCTTCGATAATTACAAAAGTTAAGTTATTTGTTAAATGTAAAATCAATCATGGATTAGTAATAAAAATACGGCTTACACTCTCGCTGTTCAAAAATTTATTTTCAATTAAAGGTAATATTTGTTTTATAATTTCTTTCATATTGATTTTTGTTGCTTCTTCAATTTCATTCAATTTTAAATGTTGATGCTGATTAAATAATAATAATATAGCCATTTGATATGTACCCATGATAACAAAATATGAACGATCCAACATAGAGATACGTAGTTCACCTTGAAATGATATATGAGGATTTATTTATTTTTCTATGAGTATTACTCACCATTGGATAAATGATATATCCAAAATAATTTTCGTCCGTTATATTGTTTATTATAAAATTCTTCGAACTAAATCAATAATAATGAATCTATTCGATTAGAATCATAGAAAAAGATGCTTACCAAACGAAGAGGTTTTTCCATCGGTTGAGGAATTACAAACGTATTATTCATCAACTGAGATATGGGCCATGAATTGGCCTAATGAAATATATTCTTTTACAGAATATAAAGAAAACACGCTTGAACTTACTTGTAGGACGTGCATATTAAAATCAAGTCCAACTAAATCAGGCATCGTCTGATTTTGTACGCATAATTTTGATTTCGATTTGAGATAATCCAAAAATTTCACATTGAGATCATCGCTAATTTTAATATCTTGAAACATTCGAGCTAGTTTTGCAGTAAATTCATAACCACATGATTCCTATGTAAGATAAACCAAATCGTACTGGTTCGATCAATACTTAGCAGATTTATTAAGACCAACACAGCTAGTCCTCTACGTAATTTAGTGAATCATATTTTTTCTCTTTAGAAAATTATAATACTTAAAGAACTTAATTTAAACGGTCATAATTCAAGAAAGAAGAAATCTTTTAGAAACTAATTGTTAAGTTACGATTTATATGAAGACATACGAGAAAAACTAATGCAAAATACCTTAAGTTTTGTTAGCATAAACTCTTCGGCATCGATAGAAGCGGAATGTTGATTAATAAGTCTACGTGCAAGCATCTTTTGATAACACTAAAATCAATTTATGCCAAGATTCTTTCAGCATTTCATAATTACCAAAAACTTACGCGTTGAAAATAATCTTTATCTTCCAAATAGTTAAATATAATAATAGCATTAAGTAGTTTTTCTTCTATTTCACTTTCAGTTGATATTTTTGATGATTTTCGTAGTAGATTATCACAATAATGTGCAATCTAAATAAAATTAAAAAGATAAACTGAAAATTTATCAAAATTTTATAATATACCAATTCTGCTGCTTTAGCTGAAAGATTATTTCCATTTTTCATATTCACAACCATAGCACAAGCTTTATCAAGTGATGAAATAAAATCTGGATCATTAGCAAATGTTTCTCGTATTACATTTAAATATTTTGCATGTAATTCAAGTAAATTTTCAACAAATAATGTTTGCAACTAAAAGAAATTGATTTTACTAAACATAATTCGAAAGAATTATTCAAAGATAGAGGTGAGTATTTAGATTTTTTCCTACACTAAAACAGTATAGGATAAGGTTTAGATAATTTTCTCAGTTAGAATATGAGAAAATCTCTATTTTACAGGCTGAGAAAGATATATTAGCAACAATCTATTTTTTTCGTTCATTGATATAAAATTGAAGACTGTAAACAAATAAGATTTTGCTGAAACTCAGAAATTTCAAGAAAATCATGATAAAGAAATGCATTCGAAAACAGATACAATGAAATAAATATTTCTGTGATGAACAATATCATATGCACATTGTTTTTCATATTTTTATCTTAGAGATATCACATTGAAAACTTTCTTTTTTCAGTAAATCTTTTGCCTTTGCGCGATGACATACATTTTCTCCCTTAAGTGAATGAATCTTCTCATGACCAATAGCAGCAATATTCTGTTGTAGGCGTTCAACCATGTAGCTTGTACCAATAGGTGTTGGTACTAGTAATTTATACATGTTTCTAAGAGCTAAAACATAAGAAATTGAATACACATAATTTTTAGAATAGGTAATTCTTCTTTGTGAATACCATCGAAATCTTCTCGGATTATAAGTTCATTACATTCATTTTTTAATGTATCAAAATGATCACAAACAAGACGTTGAAGACATTCATTTTTTACTTTTATGTATGATGTTGAATTAAGAAATTTACGACTACGAAATTCTTCTTCATCGATTAATAATAAAATCTATATGAGAAAAAGGATTTTCGTTTTTCGCTAAAAATAATACTTTCAAAAAATTACTTTTTTCATATATTGAATACAATCAAATTTAGCTATACAGCGGTTTCCTTCTTCTCGATAATATTCTCCTGTTCCTTGAAGAAAATGAGACTCAAACGTTTTTTCATAGAGCTACAACAAACAAAAATTGACATCAAATAATTTTTCTCAGGAAATAGATTTAAAAAAAAATGATTGTTCTTACTTGTAGTGCATTAATTCGTTTGTATTGATAAACATCAACAAATGACATAATCGCATTTTTTATTGTTGTTTGATTTACACATTCTCCTAACCGATCACTAGAAGATTTTTAAATAGAATCTATAGACTTTGAAATAAAAATCATGGAGTCTACAAACAGATTTATTTGTTCAAGAATTAATTTAACAAGCCGTTCTTTTAAAGGTTCTATGATGACATTTGTCCAACAATCAAGAGCCATCTAAGCAGAACGAAAATAAAAAGTCGGTTATCTTCTACGTAAGAGATCATTATTTCAAAAAAATAAATATAGCTCTTGCGTAGAATTCATTTTGAACTATTTAACAGCTTTTTGAGAATAACGTTTTCATCAATATAAAATAGATATTTAATAAAAAATAATCGAAAATTTTACCTCGCCAATTTCGACTGGCGATTCATCTGGCAATTCGATGTGATAATCAAGATACATATTCGTTTCAGAATCAGTAATTTTATGCTTCTTCACAAGTATATTATTTAAATGTCTAATTAAATAAAAGAAAAAATGAATTATTTTGTAGTTTTTATTGAAAAATAAATTTCTTTTTACGCGTAAAGACTATTTAAATGTCCAGCGCCCATTTTATATTCAATCCAGTATTTGGTATAGATGCTGAGTATATTTTGTTCTGATTTGAATATGTCCTAAATAGTGAAACTTCTAGAAAAGCTTTCAAAAATATTAAATAACTAACTTCTTTCATAGATCGACAATGTAATTCAAGAAATGTTTTTGTTTCTTCATATAATCGTTCGGCATACGATTCTGGAGTAGCTCCACATAGATTATAGATATCTAAATAATATATGTATAAAAATATATATGTAGAGTAAAAGTAGCTGTACACTTTTTTAAATTTAAACAAACCAAAAAATCGACTCTGCCATGTCGATACATCAGTATGACCATATCGACTCATATTGATCACACTACGAGCAGTACTCAGTAATTCCGGCCATAATTCATCGAAATTGATTTCTTTTGGCTTGAGTGTTGATGCCATAGTTTCTGTTGAGTTCAAATAGACATTCTAGAAAGATTATATTCTTTAAGCATATCGATAAGTTTAATTATAAGAGAAATATATCAAATATCACTGTTTCGATAAAACACTTCAAATACCAATAGAGAAATCCGACGAGAGATCTTTTTTGACTTAACGATGGAGTTAACTATCGAAAAAATAATAGATCAAAAGTTATAAATAAATTTCGACCAAGAATTACTTTGAAAAAAATATTCAAGTGAAAGCCAACATGGAACGAAAAGCAATAAAATCTGTGATTTTCGCTATCTTAGAGAAACATGTGCAGAAAGACAATGGCACAAAATTTTCTCGACTATGATTAGGTTGATTTTTATTTTAACTTTTGATCAGTGGATGATACGGATCAATATATATATGTTGATCTTTGCAAGGTTGATTTCTTTGATTTATTCTATTCAAGATTTTTATAAATGTTTTATTTTAAGGATATTTCATTGTGAGCATTCGAATAACATGAGCCAAGTGGTAATACTATTTTTTGTAGTTTTCTAGTGATATAACATTGCGGAAATTAGTTCTAGAAAACATTCTTTATGTTACTGAAAAGTTTCGTTTAGACTGTATTGCAAGAATTGTTGTGTAACAATATAAGATCAGCTGAAAGCTAAAAATGAACTTTACCGATTGATTCAACTTGAAAAGATTTCGATCAATTAAAATAGTCAGCCTAACGTAGATCAACAGAGAAACGTTTTTGTCATTGATGGACTTATATGAAATTCAGCGTTAGTTGAAACATCTTTTTCCACGAGTTTCAGTTGGTATTGACACAACCAAAAATGATTCACTTGAGCCATTCACAGTCGCGAGAATTTCATAAAAGTTTTCTTGCCCAATTTTGTTTTCTCCCATCGTCAGAACTCGCAGATTTTTATCTACTCTTACTCTTGAGATATTCAGGAAAAAAACAAATGAAGAATAACCGAATTTTTTATTCGATGATTTTCTGCTAGATTATTCTGCAAGAAAAAAAGGGTCATGAAAATGTCCATAATTCCTTATTCAATTTGATATTTAAAATGGCTTCATCAAATAAATATTGATGAACAACTTTCTAATAGAAAACTGAACCATTATTGACACCATTCTTAAGGAATTATCTTACTAAAACTTCATTTGTAAAGTTAAACAGACATTGTGTTTTGACGAAGTATTTGATAGGCTATTCAAAATATTTTGTTTTGTGTATTTTTCATTAGTCATATATTGCAAAAACAAAAGAAACCTTTTATAACATGCAATTAAGAAGTACAGAATATGCTATTTGCACTTTTTCTGTTTATTTTTCTTATCAATTTTTTGTGAAAATTTACCTATTTAAGATCTACGTATATTTTTGATTTTTCTTTAGAACATAAACCTCGACACTATATTTTATCGACGTACACAAGACAAGCAATGAATTAGATGATCTAAAAATAGACACTAGTCATATACATACAAATATATGCATATCATCATTTTTGTCTTTTTTCTTTTAATACAAATATTAATTTTATCAGTTAACATAAATAATAGAACAGCAAAACAATCGAACAAAAGTAACACGTGAATCTTCGTGAAAAAAAAATTCTATACACACTGTGCTTTTATATAAGACGTAAATGTTAAATAACAAGCTGAGTATCAGGAATGTATTTATTGAAAGACGAAATTTATATTTGGAAATTTCTGTTCTAATGTTTGTCGTTCTATTTGATTGGATAAAATATTATCATTTAATGATAATTCTTGTAAATTAAAATGTCTTTCAAGAAAATTTTCAATACCATTTACTGTACAATTAGTACAATTATTAATTGATAAAAATTTTAATTGAACCAATGGTTTTTCAGACCATTTTAATAAGCAATCATCATTAAAATTATTAATAGAATTTAAACTTATCGTTTCTAACTTTGGACACTGTTCATTAAGATTTAAAAATAAATTTGTACTCAATGTTGTACAATTATTTAAACTAATCATTCGAAAATCAGACGTTAATCTATTTAATGTTTGATCGGTTAAATTTATACAATCATCACAGATTAAAGTATTTAAATATTTACAATTATCAAGAACAATTGTAAGATCATTATCAGTTAATGTTAAGAGATTACCAAAATCAATATATTCAAGTAGAGGCCAATAATGAAAACACGTCGATTCTTGATTTGACGATAGATTTTTTAAGCCAATACAACGACTCACATTTAAATGAAGTAAATTTGGAATGCAAATAGCTATCGTATCCAGACTTATCCATGTTATGTTTGTACACGCATGAAGAACAAGCTTTTTTAAATGAAAATCAGTTTCCGTACGAATAAATATATTAATTAAAAGTGTATCATCTAATATTTGACAACCAGAAAGATCAAGTGTATGCAAATGAATGAATTGAGGATATGCTATTAAATGATTTAATGTTGATTCTTTTATATTATTCCAACGAAGATTAAGTGATAGAAGACTTGAACAAGTTTGTACTATTATTGGCAATAGTGTATTCGGTGTGAATGGCTCATGATAACAGCCAGTCATTGTGAAATCGATAAGAGTAGAACCAATTTTTTGAAAAAATTCAAACCATTTTATATTGTCCGGGCTAGATATATGAGAGAGAGAGAGAGAGAGAGAAATGAATTTTAGGTTTATCATATTAGATCGCTAAGATTTTTTTTGTCAGTGTAAAATTTAAAGAGTTCTGATAAATACATCTATTTTCAGTGGCACAATAATTAGATCAATCATAATGGAATCGGACGCAAATGACTTTAAAACAGACTATTATACTTACTCATTTTCTATGTTGTGCTGAACATTTTCAAGAATTTCTTGTCGACATTCAATAAATGAAAGTGCAATAGGTTTACGTTGACCTATAGCATCAAACCAAATTTGTTCTAATCTTTTTCGGCGATACAACATTATTTGATGTCGACATGCTTGGTCTTGTACAAGTAAATAAAAACGTTTACAAACATGAGAAAAACTATTTAATTCTTTCGTATTGAGATAAGGTAAAATTTTAAACCAAAGTTCAGTTGGTAATTTAAACCATGGTGATAAGCGATTGTGTGCAAGTATGCTCTGTTGTAAAACATTTGTAATCGGTGTTTCAAGTTCAGATAATGGAGGTGGAGATTCAGATTTTGTTGGTATTGGTGATGATGACACTTCCATCATTACCGATGCCACTGTTGGTGATGGTACTTTTGGTGATGGTAATGGTGTGTTATCGTCATGTCGCGGTTGATGCGAAGTAGTAAACTCTTCTTCGAGTGCTTCAAAATTCAATAATTCCATATTAGCCGGTGGTGGAATAGAACTATTATCATTCATTCTATCATTCTCATTATTCATTGCATTGGATCGTTGTTGTTGTTTAAGTAAATGCGCTTTTTGTAAAAGACCAATTTCATTTTCTAATTCTTTTGCATAGATAATTGGTACTAATTGTGATTCACTTATATCACTACTGGTTTCAAGTTCATCTAATTCAAGTAGGGGAATTTCATTCATTGATTTCATTTGTTCTTTTAATGGTACATAAGAATAATTTTCGTCGCTTTCATTTATTGTACAATCAGTATGAATCATTTCCGATGTTTGAAGTAAATCATCGGTAGTTATTGAATTTTCATTATGAAACGACGAAAGATCATGAAGAATATCAAACATTTGTTCATGATGATTGATTTCAAGCATAAATGAACGACTCATATTAGTACTATGTTCATCAATAGGATTTGTAGATGAATTTCTATTTGATGGAAGAGTTTGATATGATACTATAGGAGCTAAACGAGCATACTTTGATACAAATGACATTGTCGTATCGTCAGCACCGTTCGGTAGTGAAGAATGTCTCATTAGTATAGGATTTGCTTGTGAATGTTCACGATCTAAATAATAATTTTTGTTAAAATTAAGATATTAATTATTCTTAGTCGATTGTATCATCAAATTGCAATTTAATTATTGATGATATCGTTTTTTTTTAGAGTTATAATAGTCATTATTGACATTAGATAGAGTATGATACTAGCTCAGATATGTGCAAATAGAATGACAATAATCTCATACTCATTACAATTATTTCGGTTTGAGAAATCGTTATAGTGAAGCGTGAAAACGAAATCTTTCTCGAATAAAATTATTAAAATCATGAATCTAGATATCATTTAGTCGAACTCATGAACCTCAATGCGATTTTAGATAAATCAAACTGATTTACGTGATTTTTCATTGCTCATGGAAATCATTTCATGTGCTAGTGTTGGCGTTTCTTTTGTTGGCGTTTGTTCAGTATTAAAAAATTGATCAAGTAATAATGATGCTGTTGATGAACTTTGTAGTCGATCTTCTGTTATCGATAGGTTTTTTTCGGGTTCATGGTGATGATAAAAATGTGCCATTTTAACGTTTGATATTGGTGTTTGTTGCTCATTAGCGTGAATTTTAGGTAATGAACGTGGTGGTACACGTTTAGAATTGGTTCGAGTTGAATAACGTGTTGTCGGTGGTGATGTTTCACGTGTTGGAGAATGATTTGCAGATTTTCTTGTTGTAGGATATGCAGCAGCACGTAATTCACGTGACAATGCTGCTATTGAATTATCTTCTTGTGTCGATATTAATTTCAATGGCTCAATTGGTTCATAGACCGTACGATTGTGTACAGGTGGAGCAGATGATGTGTAATAAGAATTTAAGGTTGTAGCCGCTGCTGATGGCGGTAATTGTAACGGCGGCGGCAATGGACTATCAGATGAGAATGGTCTACGAGTACCATCAACATTAAACTGTTGTAAAATCTGTTGACTATATGCCAAATGTTGCATACGATTATGATCAGTAAATGATAGACGTCGTTGACGATTATCATCTGAATTACTCGTTGTTAGCGACGTCGGCAATGGATTTAATTGAGCAAGTGGTGTTCGTCCTTGTAAATAGGCTGGTAAACGAGTTGGACGTGAACTATTACGATTTTTTAATATATTATAACCAGATGACAATTCAACGCGACGAGAAAATTTATGTATGTCAGGTGTTGTATGAGTAAAATATGATTCGTTCATTGATGATGTTGATGATGGTGTTACGATAGGACGATTAGCATCATATAAACTAATCGGTGGCTCAGGTGTTGCTTCATAATCAGCTGATGTTTCGTCGAAATTTTCTCCTTCATGTGTCGTCAATGTGCCACCAAAATTAAGTGAATCACGAAGACGGTTGGAAAAAAATTTGCCCATCGACGTTGTCGATGGTTCAATGCGACGACTCAAACCAAGACGTTGTCTATAATCATTCATCTATAAATTACGCTAACCAGCATGAATAAGAAAATAAAGTTTTCTTTACTTCTATTGAAAAATCAAATAACGCAACAACACAAAATATTGTTTAAGACTGTTTGAAGGACGTAGACATACTTCAATATATAAAAAAAGAAGAAAAAAAAGAAATACTTTTCTCAAGAAATAAACACAAACATTTGGGAAGACTAGGTGTGCACGTTCACTCGACAACCGAATGGAAGGAAAAAACAAAACGAGAAGAGATCCGATCGCTAGATGAGATCATCGGTCATACTCACAGGTTGAATTTCTTAACCAATTAGAATTCAAACTGTTGAAAACATTTTCATTGGTGTAAAATACAAAAGTTTATATATGTATTCCTTGCTCACTTCATCACACCGTTGACATTTTCAGATGAATAAGCGAGCATTTCAATATCTATACTAATTTTATAGATAAAACTAAAATGAGTAAACATGTTTATGGTACTAAATCTAATCCAACTGATGTTCAAATAAAAACATGGTCTGTACAACGAGCACTTGATCCATTAGTTGTCGAGGTTTGTTATAATTAATGATGTCTCTTTTAATTACAATAATTATCTACTTGTTGAGATCATCTGAGTATTTATATCGAAAAAAAATTCACTTCGAACTTCTTCTTCACATATTGAAATTGTTTTTCATTCTCTTGTTTCAGCATAATTATAAAAAAAAAGATTAATGATATATTTATGACTTATGAATAATCGATTCAATTCTAAATTTGATATTAAACATGAACTTTAAATGACAAGTTAATTATTAAAGAGGTCCCATTGCTCATAGAAAAACTTGAATAAATAATAACAAAGAGGAAGCTAATATAACACACTCAATATTTGAAGCATTTAATTGGATTGGCATAGTTCTATGTAATATTGAGTTTAGAGGAAGCAATAGTTATTCTCATTCGTGAATACTTCGTCTGATTTTTTCGCGTATACGAAAAAAACAACCGACTAGATCGACAGAGGAATCAAAAATCGCAGGTTTTTATGCTTGCCAGTATTTTCGGAAGAAGAAAAAGAAAACAAAATTCTCAAACCATCATTGTATGAACATTATAATAATTTCAATAATCATCTTTGATTGTATTTGCTATTTTGGTACGTCAAACAGATTTCGTGATACTTCGATCAAAATCAATTTTCATACATCGGTTTTAAGAATAAAAAAGTAGTGATAAAACATTCTCAACAATAGCTTAAAATAGATTTCTTTATGTCATGCAATTTATTTTGTCTTAACTCGAAAACTGAAATAAACAATGATATTTTTCTCTTGATATCATTAAAATAAACTATGGAAAATTTCTAAGAAATATATTTTCTTCTTAGGTAACTTCATTAATATCGGATCAATCATCAAGCACAAAAAAAGGTCGTTCAAAGCGAGCTCATCTATTAGTTGAGAATGTTATTCATGCCACAGAGAATTTTATGAAGAAAGTTGGTGAAATTGCTAATGAAAATCCTGATATGCGTAATGATTTATTACAAAATATGAAAGAAGTCAAACGAACAGGTAACAAAAACAGAACACGACACTAAATTATTCTATACTTTGACTTTTTAAAGGTGATGAAATGGTTATTTTATCAAAAGAATTTGCTGATGATCCAAGTTCAAAAGTAAAACGTGAAAAAATGATAACTGCTGCACGAGCTCTACTTACATCAGTTACACATTTACTTATCATAGCCGATCTTGTTGATGTACAATCAATTTTAAAATCTATTCGTTTAGTATGTAAATTTAATGAGTACTATTCAGTTTTAACTTTCAATTCTACAGGTTGAAGATGATTTACAACATATTCGTGATGCAGCAAATCAAGAAGAACTAAATCATTTCTATCAACAATATGGAAAAGATATTAATGATCTAAATCATCATGCACAACGACGACAACAAGTAAAAAATAGTTACTTTCGTTTTTTTTTCTTAATAGAGAATTATCGTTTTGTTTTACTTCTTCCAGGATTTAATCGATCGTATTGAACAAGAAAATTTAGCAGCTGCACGTGCTACATTAGTACGTTCATCAATGATGTTATTTACTGCAGCAAAAACGTATCTACGCCATCCAGAAATTCCTTCTGCACGTGAAAATCGTGATTTTGTCTATAATCAAATATGTCACGCTGTAAATGTTATTTCCTCGATTTCACGAGGACAATACGAACCATCAACATATAGTTCATCATTGAATACAATTGGAGATTTAACTAGAGCATTAAATGAGTTCGATGTAAAAATATTTTTCTTCATATAAAAAAAAAATGAAATAAAACGTAATGATTGATTTATTTTAGAATATTATTATGATGAAACCCCAAAAATTCAATGAACAAGTTATTCGACCACAACTTGAAGGACGTCTCGAAGATATTATATCAGGTGCAGCTCTACTTGCCGATTCATTGTCAACAAGAGATGACCGTCGCGATAGAATCGTACAAGAATGTAATTCAGTTCGACAAGCTTTACAAGAATTACTTGATGAATATATTAAATATGTATGAATAAAAATAGTATTTTCAAATATTATGATTTCTAATCTGTTTTTCTTTTTGTTGTTGTTTGTCTAGTCGAAAAAGAAAAGTTCAGATGAAAATGTTAATGAGAAAGTTCAATCTATGCAAGCAAAAACTCGTGATTTACGAAGACAAGTAAGTGAATTACTAATACTTATTCTCTCTTTGTTGTCTTTGTACCAGAGGTCATGAAATTGTTTTGAATCAAAATGAACTAATTTTATATACTTTTTCATTAAAACCTCCTCTCTCTCTCTCTCTCTCTGTTTCACATATACCTTTTTTCTTTCTTTTACATTGAATTATAAATGACCATTCATCTAGTAGGCGTGTCGTCGGACAGAAAGAAAAATATGCATATAACAATAAGATATTCATTTCTATATACATTTTGTAATTACCACGAAGTAGACCAAGTAAATGTCAAAGCACATGTCGTCATCATCTTTATCATCTTTATGATCATCGTTGTGACTTAGTCACAGACGTCGATTGAATAATTTCTTACGTCTATCGGTCAAAACCTACCACGATGCATTGAATATAACAAAAGTGATAGAAAAAAGGAAAAGCATAAAGAACACAGAAAAATATTAATAAGTATGTATTTTTATCTATGTGCTGGAACCCCAAGTCCAACACTTAATAGTACAAGTATTAAACTATGTCGAGAGTCATCCTTGTCATCAATTGAATCATTTGAATGTTCTTATTTAACGCCTACAGATAATGATGAAATATCGGTAGCAATATATGTTAACATGTTCTATTTGAAATATTTGATCTTTATTTTTATTTTAGCTTCGAAAAGCGGTTGTCGATCATGTTAGTGATGCATTTGTGGCTACAAATGTTCCACTTCTTGCTTTAATTGATGCAGCACGACGTGGAGATCCTCAATTAGTTGAAGAAACCGCCCAGATATTTATTGAACATGCAACTAAATTAATTGAAGTAAAACTAAAACATAATTTCAATTCTTCATTAAGGAGAAAACAACTCTTGTGTTTAGGTTGCCAATGTTGTATGTTCAATGTCAGACTCAGTTGAAGGTATTAAATTAGTTCGTTTAACTACAAAACAAATCGAAAATCTTACACCACAAGTAACGGAAAAAAATGTTTTTTTGAAATTTTTGATAAATTCAAGCGTGGATTTTCTTTTTTTTTGTTTGATAGGTTGTCAATGCTGCACGAATCCTCGCTGCTCGTTCGACATCAAAATTAGCTCTTGAAAATATGGATGTATTTCGTGATACATGGGAAAGAAATGTTCGTTTATTAACTGACGCTGTCGATGAGATAACAAGAATCGAAGATTTTCTTGCTATTTCGGAAAATCATATACTTGAAGATATTAATACATGTATTCAAGCGATGGTTGAACGAAAGCCTGATCGTAAATAAGACTCTTATTTTTAGACGACAAAGAAAAAAACACGCAATCTTTTATTTTCTTTATTCAGGTGTTGATCTCACGGCAGGAGCTATTCGTGGACGATCAATGCGTGTCATAGATGTAGTTACGGCTGAAATGGAAAAATATGAACCAGGAGAGTATACTCAAGCTGTTATGGAAAGTGTTCGTATTCTTCGAGATCAAAGTAAACGATAAATTTTGATTTATTTATGTATTTTTAAAAATGTCGTTCTGCAATCTAGTTGTACCGGGCTTTGCAGAAAGAATTCAAACAGCGATTGATGTTCTTCGAATGAAATCAGGATATGATAATAGAACGGTAAAAAGAAATATTTTTGTTTTCATTATGAAATAAAATATGTTTATTTATTTTTAGTATGAATTAAGTGAACAAGAAATTATTGAAATGTCAAGTAGCGTTTATCATGCTATACGAGACATTCGTAATAGTGTATTAATGAATCCGGTAAGACTAATAGAAAGTTTTTAGCTGTAAAAAAAAACCTCTAATTAATATCTTGTTCGAATGATGAACATTGTGATGCGATAATTGTTTTATTTGAAATCGATAAAATCATTTCTCGAGAGATATGTAATTATATTCTTAAGATCTTGATCAAAATTATTATCTTATTTGTTTGCTATTGAAATAGAATGATTCAATGATTAAAATGTACTTGCGATCGAACTGTTTATTTTTAATTTGAGGTTTATAATTACTAACGAACAATGGTCCGACCTCTAACATGAGTGTTGCATGTCACTGAGATATTCCCAGGTCACCTGTATTTATGATACTTTGAGAGCGAAAAATTTTGCCAAGAAGAAGATTAACATGTAGGCGAGGTCTCCATAGTTTTCTAATTGCTTTTTAATGATTTGTTGTGATAAATATGAATTTTTATAGAAGAAAATTATATAAAAGTATTTTGATTTGCGTACAGTATGGAAAGCTCGATCAGTGTCTTTCTTAACCACGAGTAGTACTTTATATGTGTTTAATATTACAACATTTCTTACGTGATTTTATACTAATAAAAGTTCAATGAATATAAAAGACTCCTTTCCTTCTTGTGTGTTACCGAAGAGAATAAGATCCGATAGAGTTCTAGTCGAGACAATGTGTGATCTTATCATGAGATTTCAATATCTTACGTTATAAAGAATAATAATGAAGTCGATAATAAATAACAAGCATTATTGACATTATCAACAACTTTCAAGAGACAACTCGGTATACTATAAATCTGTAGAATTGAGAATCAATCGGAGTTGTCGGGTTGATTATTATGCATACAAAAGGAAAAGGTCAATGACAATCATTTGTCATTCAACTTTCCTCTGACTCTTTTAACGAGTTACGCAGGAAGCACAAAAATATTTATCGTAGTTAGCATTCAAAACTCGTTCAATATTATATTGATACGAAAAATTGGATGTTTCCTTTCCATTGAATATTAGCAACGATGAATTTTTTTAATAAGAAAAAAAATTCAAGAATATATTTAATAATTTTATAGGATCTTGAATGGCCGAGTGATGATGAAGAAGGTTTAAATGATGAAATTTATGCCCAATCTCAAACATCAAGTCATGGACCATCATCAGATAGTCAGCAAATCGATCTCGAAATGTATCCAGGCAAAACTGATAATCCTAGTCGAGTATGTATTGATAGACTATTTTTCGTTTTTTTCTTTGGTCTCTATTTCACGTGTTAAAATTAAGGATATGATGAGACGATTACCAAAAGAAGAACGTGAACAAATCGAAATGCAAGTTGAAGGTTTTAAAAAAACGAAACGTGATTTTGAACGTGAAGTTCTTAAATGGGATGATCGTGGTAATGATATAATTGTTCTTGCGAAAAAGATGTGTATGATTATGATGGAAATGACGGATTTTACTCGGTATGACATTTAAAAGATGATCTTTCTTATTTTCATTTTCTGTAACCAAAAATTAATATTTTTTAGCGGCCGAGGACCATTACGCACAACAATGGACGTTATCAATGCAGCGAAAATGATATCCGAATGTGGATCAAAATTAAATAAATTAGCCAAAGATGTTGCAGCTCAAGTAAAAGTTTTGAATAATCTTTATGATGAAAATAAAAATATTTTCTATAGTGCGTTGAATCTCAATCAAAATCTGATCTTGTTGCTTATGTTGATCGTAAATATTCAGTTCATATTTTATTTAACATCATTCATATTTTCTTTCTATTTTGTTCTTAAGGTATTACTCTCTATTGTCATCAGTTGGACATAACTAGTAAAGTTAAAGCTGATGTGCAAAATATTAGTGGCGAATTAATTGTTAGCGGGGTATGAATTCTTATCTTTAATCAATAACTAAGTATTGTCTATCTAACTTTTTGTCATTAGCTTGATAGTGCAACTTCATTGATAACTGCTGCAAAAAATTTGATGAATGCTGTTGTACTTACAGTTAAAGCATCGTATATTGCATCGACGAAATATCGCAATAAATCGGGAAATAAAGAGGTAAACTATGTTCAGATTTTAATGATGTTTTTATTGACGTTTTTCTTTTCTTCGCCTTCTCTTCTTTGATTAAGCCGATTGTTCAATGGAAAATGCGTTTACCCGAGAAGAAACCATTGGTATTATTTGATCGACAGAATGAATTAGATTCACGGATCAGAAAAGGTTCGGCTAAGACACGACTCGAACCATTACATGTTCTTAGTCAATTCCAGAATTAAAATGGAATCGATTTGTCATATAAGGATCTGAGCTTGTGCATATTATTAATGTAATCTTTAACATTCAATTATCTTTTTCTTTCTTCATTACTAGTTTTATGGATAAACTTTATCTGATCTGAGTTCGTTTTTTTTTGTGAAAATGTAGATTTTCAATTGTTTTATCTATTGTGCATTAGACTCAACTTGCTGGTTCTAATTGTCAATTTAAACTTTTTTTTAACTAGTAATAAAATTCCATATTTGCCATAGTAAAACAAGATATTAACCATGCTAATCACTGCATTTATCACAAAGAATTACAAGTGATTTTTGGAATTATGACGAGACATTTTAATCTTAAATTTGCCGTTTCGTTATTTTATTAGAATGGAACCTTATTGATATTATTTGTTCATCAGAAAGATGATATATTTGAGCAGTTGTAACGAAATGAATCGATGATTTGAATCAAATATTGATTATAACATAGAATTCTTGTCAGTGAATATCTTCTTATGCTGACCTTGAACTGCGCTTGTGTACTTAAGATTGTTACTTTCACCTTTTTCGAATGAAGATGAGGGCTGTTTTCTTTCTCTCTTGTGTTCGTCAACTCATGCCACTACGACTCATTACGTCACAACGTTAGGTCACACGACATAAACTTAGAGTTCTATTTTAAAATTTTCAAAGAAAAGAAGAATAATTGTCAGAAAAATAAGAACTTGATAATTATACATTTGAATAAGTCGTAGAACAAAGCTCAACAATTCATGAGCGACAAGTAGTTACTCGCTGACATTTGTGCGCGTCTGAGATTAGGATACAAAATCTCTGTTCATCGACAACGATACTCGTGCTAAAAAAAACAAGAAAATTCCTCTATGGGGGATCTATTCAAGAACTAAGAGTCATGTATGTCGACAATGAGACGAATAAAGCAAAGTCTCTTAACCTATTGAAAACTTGCTACTAGATTTTTTTCTGTAACATATTGAATAATTTTTATTCAAAAAAATCTGACAATGCTCAAATAAGCGACATGTTACAGTAGTGTTGCATCTCAAAGTAGAATTAAAATCTCAAAGTTGTATTCGTTTTTATGCTAATTTTAAACAGACATAATCATTTTCAATTTCTTAAAAATAAGTTTCGAACTAGATGAGTCGATAATTCGTTGGCTAAAATCAGTTATGGTTACCCTTAAAAGAGCTCGTGTTCTTAATTTGATTCTGAGTAGATCATGCACTATTATAGATCTTTTAATAAATGGCGTGATTAACTTCATAAGAACCAGAAAATTTTACTTTCAACTCGCATTTCCGCATAGAAGCATGCATGGAAAAAAATAGTTATGCTTGTGACTGTTTTATATCTTGCCGCTGTTTCTATTCGAAGATATAAGGATGGTAATCGAGTGTATTTTAGCTGGCTCATAGAAACCAACAGGTCTGATGATCGGACTTTACAATAGAACCAAAGTAAAAGATTTGAAAATTTCACACGAAACTAATTTCGTTACGAGTTGTCTCTATGAACTCAAACAGACTATAACGATAGACTACTCTCATTTGATGCTACATAATGCGCATTATCCTCCACTTGATTTTTATCGGCGAGAGAATATATCTTGTCAATGTATATCTACAAACCGATGAGTCTTGCACAGGGCTGGAACCGGTCCGGACAGGACCGGTTCGGAAAGTCAACCGGGCCGGTAAATACCGGAAAATCACCGGTTGAAATTTTAAAATAACTATCTTCATTTAGCTCTATTTTTGTTAAAAAAATGTTTTACAAATTTTTCTATGAGGTAGATATAATGAAATTGTGCTATCAATATATATATATACATAGAAAATCTTATGAAACTGTTGATGATGCAAAATTTTGTGTAGTTCAGAAGGAATATTTGATTGTCATCATAAGTACAAGTAATACATCTCATTTTCTTTCACAGTAACAAGAGAGATCAACGAAAGTGCGGCAGCAGATCAATTTGGTTGGTCGATGCACTATTTTATTGACAGTGTTATTTTTTATCATATATAGTTGTAAAAAGATGACTTGATAATAGAACTTGAAACGTCTATCTTTTATTTTCTACAGATTTGTTGGTAGCTTTAATCATATTTCATCGAGAATATAAATTCTCTAAAGTATATTTTCAAATATTTTTCCTTAGAAGCTTGATCAGAAAATTTAGAGTATTCAGCTATCAGCATTTATAATGTGAGGAGCTGAGTCATAAGATTTGAATAGGCCTATTTAACCATTAACTAATTGATATCATTGCTGGAACTCACTCTATCAGTTTTTACCGTATTTTGGCTATCTGAAACAAATTTCAAGGAATTAACTCCATCAGTTGTTCTCCGATTTGCCGGAATTTCACCGGTTCGAGACTAATTTATGTCCGGCCGGACAGGACCGGTTTATGGATTTCTTACCGGTTCCAGCTCTGGTCTTGCAGAATATAATCCAAAATTAATTACACATTTGAATATATTTCAGTCAAATTTATTCTTGACAAAAAAATTTCAGTTCCACGAAGAATGTCTATAGTAACTTTTTGATTTATTAAAACATTATTTTTATTCACAAGAAAGAAAACAAAAACAAGAGGTCATTTAAAACAACAAAACTTCAGAAGTTAAAACAATTTGGATTAAAATTTTACTGAATAACACCGAAATATTTACATTCATTCAGCCTAAAAAACAATATAAAAACTAAAACAAATATAAAAATTTAAATAATAACATTTACTTTTACTTTCTTGAGTTGTTTCTGTATTTCCAAAATTGATATAATCTTTTCTTGTTGCTGCACGATATTCATCCATAAGCTGTTGTACAGCCTATGATTCAAAAACAATTATTTGTAAAATTAAAACTAAAGTTTCTTTTCATACTTCACGTGAATCAACAAACTCATCGAGATTTTCTTTAAACATTGGTAATCGACGAAAATTTTCCACGAATGCTTCGCGCTTTATTAATTTATCATAGTGATCACAGATACGATCAAATAGCTAGTAAATAAAATATACTTTTATTTGACGAATTAAAACAAAAAGTAACATACTGATGAAATGCCTGTATGATTGGCAAGCATTAAGCCGCTAACACGATGTTGTGTTGTAACATATGGCGATTTTTTTGATAGAGCTACTTGAATTGATGCTGGTCCCCATGGAATAAATTCTGCTAATTTTCGTTCACGAATGCGCATTAAACTTTTATGAACCTATTTTCACATATGCATTCAATATCAAAATAAACATTACAAAACGAAAGTACCTCCGATGGGTCAACTTCACCTTGAATTATATTCAAGATTGAAACGTAACAATGAGTTATATTTTTATCACGAGATGCAGTTGTAACCATAGCATTTTTAGGTTGTAATAAACGACGCATTACATCAAGAACAGTCGTTTTACGAACTTCAGATTCCTATTCAAAATTTTAAAAAAAAGGCGTTCGAATTCTAATAACCAAAGTAAATATTTTTACTCACTGTTTTATCAGATGTCAATGGTGTATAGGCCGAAATAAGAAAATGTAAACGAGGAGTTGGAATAAGTGATGATATCAAACTAATTAAATCATTATTCATATAACCAGGATATCGAAGTGTCGAAGTACTGCCAGACATAATGGTTGATACCTTGAATAAAATATAGTAAAAAAAGTAAAAATCTTTCAAAAAAAAACATTACTAGCTGATTCAGTTCAGCTAACGTTGGTGTTGCCTTTTTAAGACGTTCAGTAGCTATACGATTTAATGCTGTGTTATCTAAGACAACCTATTAAATTAAAAAATATATAATAATTTCTTTTTGTTTGAATAAATTAAACTTACAGTACAATCAGCATTTTCGATTAAACGTTTGAGTGTCAAAACTGAATTATATGGTTGAACAACAACATCAGCCTATTCATAGAAAGAGATTTTTTTTGCATAGAAAGAAAAGAATTCATTTCCTTTAATTTGTTGAATTATGTACGCATTAAACAGTTTCCAGTCATGAGCGACTTTTAATAAAAGAGTACAGCACTACAGTTTGCAGTTATATGCCGAGGGGGACATTTTGAACTAGTTTAGAGTGTAGTCTAATTATTGATGAATGAAATTGCAAATTAATACTTGTTACTATTGTATTTATAACTTAGTAACGAAGGCTCATACAAAAGAAAATTCTTTCATAATACATATCAAATAAACTTTCAATTTTGTACATGATACTAAGTAAACTCCAATAAAGTTATGCAAGATTCTTTTATATCAAACCATAATCTCTCTGTCAACTGCTGAAATAATAAATATTTGTATTAAATGATACAAAGATAATATGAAGTCTTTAAAAAAGAAAAGAATAAATTTGCCTCAATTCGTAAGAACACAGCTATAGTCATAATTGCCTAAAGATTTTAATTATTTCTAGATGAACAAAAATGATATAGTGTTTTGAGTCAACTCGCAATTATATGATTAAATCGAATATCCCATTGCTTAAGAATGTTTCCGATTAATAGCTTGAGACAATTCATTAAAAATATAATTCTTATCCAAATTCGGTCAAGTGAAAATTGATCATGATAATAGTGAACGTGAATGCTATTACAATGTCTTGCATTTGATCTTAACCTATGATTACATCTCGTGGCAAAGAATTGAGTACTACTTTTATAGAGCGCTGATTGAAATATTTTATAAGCATGATTGGGTATAATGCAGAAATAGAAAATGAAAAACTAGAGATATAATACATGTTGAGTTCATTTTACTTACCACTTCATTTGTCATAGGAAAAACGGAATAAGTTTGAATTAATTTTTTTGGAAATCTATCATATAGATTGAAAACAAAGTAAAGGTATGAGGGTGATTATGATGATTTTAAAGTATATATTTACCTATCATTAACTTTTTCGAGGATATTACTACCCAAGCCTGAACCTGTTCCGCCAGCAATTGAATGACAAAGTACAAAGCCCTATAGAAATTCTAATAGAGCAACAGCGATTCAACTATGAAACAAACTTCAAGAGAATCTCCATTCTCAGCTTCACGATCAATTATATCGAAAATTTCTTCAGATAATTTATCACCTTGATGATAACCTTGAGCCCAATTATTACCTATAGAAAAAAAAAATAATCAAGATTATATCTAAAGTAAATTACTTTTTTTGTAATAACAAAAAAACACCTACCAGCTCCTCCACCATCTTTTGAAATATAAACATTTTCAGGATTGTATAAATGTTTATATGATGATTTCAGAATACCATCAATAACACGAGGTTCAAGATCAAGTAAAACAGCACGAGGAATGTAATGTTGATCATCGGCCTATAATAATTAGAATGAAAATATTTCTTTCATCCATCACTAAACATGAAAAACAAACCTGATAGAAAAAGACGTCTTTTCGATCAGAACCTTCTGTTGCAAATGGTTCTAGTTTGCCTTCAGGACTTATACCATGTTCTGCACATAATTGTTTCCAAAACTCCATACCAACTAAATATAAAAAAAAACCGAAATAGGAAAATGACTTATTTTCAACAGTAACAACAACAACATCGTCAGATCAAATCGCGGCCTACTACAATTAATATGCATAGAATTACAAGTCGGTAAAAGTTCTTTAATCTTAGAATTTTCAGTGAACTATTGTTGAAAAGAAGTTTTCTAATTAAAAGTTTGCTTTTCTCCGATTAAATGAATGTTCTGATTTTTCCCTCGACATTAAAAGACGAACTAAAGTGTCTTGAAAGAAATTCAATTCAAGCTCTCATATTCCATTATCTCTAAAAAACTTGAAAGGTATCACAACTCGTAGTTCATACCAATAAGTTTTATGATAGAACTATTACACTTCTACACTCAACATTTTGTTTACATTAAATTCAATTATATCCGGAGAACATAAATATTTGCATCTGTCTCCCGACTAACAGTCGGCAATATAAAAACAAATTCAATTATTCCAGTATCACTCACTCTGATTGCCACATTGTCCAAGTTGCAATGTAATAATTTCACTAGGCATATTCTTGTTCTTTTTTTTCTTTTAAAACAAAATCGAAATCTTCAAACAAAAGACAACAAAAGTAATAACTGTAATATCTTTGGGTGTGTTAGTTGGTTAACTTATTTCCAAAAAAAAAAAAAGAAAGAAAGGAAGAAAAAGAAGAAAAGACCAAATGATTAGAAAGAAACAGAGTAACACAACAAAATTATGCTTAAATGAAGAATAGAGAAATCGCATATAGATTCATTCGATTTTCAAACGATATTAAGAACTTTCTGCGATAAATATGAGTACACAAAAAAAGAAAAATGTATTATCAATGAAGAAGGTTTCGTGAAGAACCTAACAAAAGCCTCTTAGCCGAAATAAAGCATTCTGTTCATATTTTGGTTTGTTATTTGTCTAATTTTCTTCTTTTCCGAGATTTAAATGATTTAATGTCACTTCATTTACACACAGACACAACATACCGATTACATTTACCGAAAAAAAAAGTAGAATTAAAGAGACAAACATCGAATGAAATGAACACCAAAGTCACGATTAATAAAGCGCACTCGTGTCAGCCAGAAAAAAGAGAAGATCTTGTAAACTAACACACACCGGCATAGAAGGAGAAATTCTAGTATTTGTTTTTCCTATTTGAAAGGTTAGAATGTTTACACGCGCGCTAAAGAAATATTAATAAAGGCTAGCGTGAGTGTGTGCTTAGTTAGTAGTTTTTGTATGTAATAATATAATTGTTTATTTTAATTGCTACATGAAAAGAGAAAATAACCGAGTGAAAAGCCAAATAATAATGCAATAACAAAAGCCACAAGAACAAGTTGTTCATTTAAAGCGATACCAAAAAGAACAAGGCCATTCTGTTGTTGCTGATTTGACTTGAGCCGATCGACTACTGGATTTCCAGCACCTAATACCCGTTGTCGAACACCACTATCTGGTTGTTTAAGTTGTTCCTAGAAAATGAATCATGTAAAAAATTTTCTATTATTGAACAATAAAACATTTTTATACTTTTAAAGTTTCATTCTCATCTTTCAAACGATCGATTTCTTGTTTAAGACGTGATTTACTTGAATCATCAGTTACATCCTTAAAAACGAAAGCACATCATTAAGTAATGAAAACAACTTTCATTAATCAAAATATAAATTAATATCCACAACCACAATCTAATAGTTGGGATAAAAAAAAGAGTAAGTTAAGCAACGAAAAAACATCAACTTTAGGTTTTGTGTATATCCGTATCGAATCCAAAAGATATGAAAAAGAACCTGTTGACGATCTTGAACTTGAGTTTGAAAAGAATTTGCTGGTCGTGGAGTAGTTATAGGTGATCTTGGATTGAAATTTGTTGGCATAGGAGATGCTGCTTGTTGTTGTTGTGCGTTATTGTCAATTACATTTGTTGAATCAGTCTAAAAGCGTACGATCATACATGCAAGCAAAAATAACAAGGGTAAGAGCACAGATATTAAATAATCAAGCAATATTTGGTTTTTAGATAGCCAAATAGAGACATGCAAATAATATATATGAACTAATTATTCTACTTACATTGCGTGAAGTTGGCTAAAATTTGAAATATTTAACTGGAGTTAAGCGCTTTTTAAAAATTGAAATTTCATCAAGCATACTCATAGTTTTTAAATTATTCATGTTTTAAGAAGTTTAGCACAAAATTTTATCAAAAAAGATGATTTTTTGTGTAAGGATGAATTCAAAGGCTATAAATCATTTTCCCTTCATATAACAGGCATCCTCTCGTATTAGTATCAATTAATTTGTTCTAAAATGACATATCTCAGTTCTTTCTTGTTTTTCTTATTTTCATGCGGAAGAATAAACTAAGTAGTCGATACAAGAATGGCACAAACGATGTTAATCACTGTCTAACATTTCATCTGACAGAACAGCAAAGATGTCAACGATAACTAATTATTGCTGTTTTATGTGTTTATGTCGACTGATGAGTATTTATCTTTTTTTAATACTGAACGTGACTACTAGACATTGTGTTTGTCGTAGAAAATAATCAATTTTAACTAATCATTAGTTTGAAGATTTTTATTTCATTTTCTGATTAACTTACTGCGTCTAATTCACGATGTCCATGTGAATCGCTAGGTACAACAGCTGCTGGTTGTTCATCAGAAAATAAACATTTTAATTTTGAATCTTGTACACTAAGATTTTTTAAATCTTGTTTCCACTTTAAGAAAAAAGAAGTTTTTAAATTAATCTTCTTCTAAATTGTTTTTTTTCTTACAAAATTATCCACATCGTCTGCATAACTATTTGGTACAGCAACCCATTGTACCATAAATTTATGCTTGGTACGATCATCGGGCTGACCAGCTGCTTGTGGCTGTAACATGACTAATAGAATACAAAGCAAATAAATAAATAAATATGCGTGAATGAATAAAAATTGTTATTGATCTGATTTTTTTCTACCTTGTATATTAGTAGTTGCATGTGCGTCAAGAAAACCACTGTTTGGTTTAACACAATACCGTTTTGGTGCTGTTGTTTTAATTTTATAAGCTAGTCGTTCGCTGCCACTATTTGATAATTTAAGTGCTGTTATTGAAACAGCAGTAAAGGGACCTTTAAAAACGAGATCACTATTCGGAATGAGTTCAAGTGTCATAGTTTTTTTTTTTCTATTAGTGACGATCGTCAAAATATGATTTGCTTTTTCTTTGGTTTGTTCTATGTTAATGTAAACAGACAAAGAAAGACAAGTGAATTAATATTGAGACTTTATTTATTCTTGTATTAATGTCTAGAATATATAAAAGGGTGCAAAATGTCAATTAGAACTTCCATCGCATGATCTCAGAAAAAAAAGAATAAATAATAAATATGTATTATAGATAGTTTAATCAATCATATTTGTTGGATAGAATTAACACAGTTATGCACTTTGCCAAGTTCGGTTAGAACTTTTTTCAGAAAACGAAATCAAATGAAAACAAATAAATATTATTAACTGTTAAAATTCACCTGGATATGAATTGATGTAATAAATGGAGGAATATCAGAGGTTTCTAAGCTAAGGAAAATAAAGACATAGAGAAAGACAGTTAGACAAGAAAATATAAACAAGAATGTATATTCTTTTTCAAAATAAAATAGACAGAAAAATATTAACATTTCTATTCATTTCTGTTTTTGATTTCGCTATTTTCTAGAGTAAATAAATATCTATCTAGTCAAAATTTATTCAATTAAATAAAATGCGTGTTGTCGTATTACCTGTATGTTTACTTGAATCATATCCACATGTTCTACTTAAATATGATTTTCGAGTTATTCCACCACCACCATCATCATCATCATCATCAACACAGATACCATCATCACCAGCTGTTCATTCTACAACATCATCAGTTAATGGTTCAAATCATAAATCAAATGTACGTCCACAAGAATTTTATTTAACTCCATACTGCTCACCTATTCTTCCATCGGGTTCAATTCATACTGTTTGTGAAATTATTAAAGGTTCAAGTGTTCTTCGATATTTATTTGATGTTAAAAAAGAAGACGAAGAAAATCTTGAAAACAAAGTAAATCATATTATTGTAAACAAATTCTAGCTTTATTTTTTTGCATGCATAATTTTAATCAATAGATCGATTTTAAAGGACATTGTCGATTCATTGCGTTTGGTCCCGAAACGGATATTTGTATTTGTGCTTTATACATTCCACACATATCATCACTTGAATTAAATTATATAAATCAACCTGATCCACCACTCTCAAGACAGCATTCAAAATTGAGTTATGTTCGTGCACCATGTGATCCGACAAAAAAAGAAATAGCATTAGCTTATGGTAATCCGGGTAGTGAACATTTACCAGCAACAGCATTTGTTCATCGTGATCTTGTTCATTTATGGATATCAATACGTGATATTCGTCATAAATTAGTACATATTGATCGTGTACTTAAACAACCTGGTATTCTATCGAAACTGACACATGTTGAAAGTTGGGTCACATCATATAATGATAGTGTTACTGATAAAACAACTCAACCAGAAAATGATGCAAAACGTCGACTTATCAAAGCACGAGCACGTACACTCGTTTGGGATATAATGGAAATGAAAAATGAAATATTATATCCACATCCAGGTTTGTACAAAAATATATTTTAGACTTATAATATCATCAAAAATAGACTATAGTAAATAGTAATCGCAGAGACTTTATTGTCATTTATGTAAATGAGCAAAAAAAAGTTAACATTGGTGTGCGAAAACAGAAAATAAATCTCATGAGAATAAAAATCATCCTCCCATGGTTTGGCATTGATTTTCTCAATCGCTTATAATCATCTCATGTGAAGTGATCAGTTTCTAGTCAACAAAAAATTCGAAAATCTAAAGGATATTCAATATAAAGAGAACAAAAATTCTAATTTAGTTCACGGACGCATTCCTAATTTTCGAAGTAATCCTGATTGTTCAACGAATTTGGCTCAACTTGAAGAATTTCAACGAGCTCGTGTCATTGAAATCTGTCCGAGCCTTGCTCAGGAACATTTACGTTTATTTTCATTGGCCGAAGGTAAATATCTAAGCCGATGTGTACATATCTTTTTTTGTATTCTAGTTTTATTCTTTTAGGCAAAGTACTTCTTACTCCAGCACCATCTATTGATAATGCACTGTTTTACAAACTTGATCCTAAATTTTTACATACTCATGATTTATCACGGGCAGCAACAAAATCTGGTGTGTAATATCTTGTCAAAACGAAAAATCTTTTGAGTCATAAATTATTTTTTCTAGGTACTGCTGCTCTCGGTACAATTGTTAATTTAACAGCTGTTGGCAATCTTCATGTTGATATTGTTGTTGTGGCTTCTGTTGTTGTCAATCCAATAACTGGCGCTCGTTTAGGTAAGTTAGTTTCTTGTCGAAACAAACATCAAGATAAAATAGAACATTAGAAGAGATAGAAATCTTTAGAAGATTCATTTCTATAAAGTTATCAACGAATGAGAAAACTCGGAATAGTCTATTGATCTAGTGAAACATACATCGAATAATAGAAAAACAGAGATAATCATTGATGAACAGAATGTTCTTAACAAAATACAGTGAACATACTTTCATATATCTTGAAACGAAGCCATTTATCGTTCGTTTCTTTAACGGATGAGATCTAATCTCTGTGAGATATACCCATAGCATAGCGATTGAATGTAATTTTTTCTGGGCCACGTAGACCATTTAGCTACAGGAAATGAAATCAGTATTGATGAGTGGTCTGGTTTATTTGTCTTGTATTATCAATATTCCCTTGTATAGTATTGTTTATATTCGTATGATTAGTTTTCTGTTTTATCATTCTATTATGATTTGTGTAATGTGATGCTCTTAATGTGACTGAACTAAAATATTTCTCTCTGTAAGACTTTGATTATTATTTGTTATAAAAAGCTTATTATCGAATTCTATATGATTTAAATTAAAAAAATATAACTTTAGGAAAAGGTAAAGGTTATGGTGACATTGAATATGCAATGATGCGTCAATTGGGTGCATGTGATGATAGAACACTTGTTGTAACAACTGTACATGAAAGTCAATTACTAGATGATCTTCCATCATCAGTTATGACTGAACATGATTTGTATGTTTAATTTTTTTGTTTTGAAATATTTTATTGGCTGAATTCTTAACTTAGACCGGTGAATGTTGTTATAACACCACAACGAATAATTTATACACAACATAAATTTTCATGTCCAAAAGTTATTAATTGGGATTATATAGATAATGATACAATGCTTAATTTACCTGTATTAAAAGAATTTAAACGTCTTCAACAGCTTCAACAAGAAAAATTGAATTAAAAGAAAATCTTCTCTTTCTTTATGTTCTCTTACCTGTGAAACTTGTGTATTCAAATTGATGTTTATTTTGATTGTCTTCTCTCTCTCTCTTGATATTTTAACTCATTTGTTTTATTTTACGTTTTCGTTTTTCTTCTACCTTTTCTTTTCTTAGTCTTTCTCCTATCTATTCATTGAGACGCTAGATCTGACTATAAAAACACAATCAATCGACTAACAGATAAAACACTTTTTTTTTTATAACTTCTCTTACCGGTGTGTGTCTTGGACATCTTGTGGATCTTAGGATTTTTTTTGCCTTTTGTTCATTTGTTGTGATATAGAGAAAAGGATATATTCGTTTTTGTTTTCATTCCATTGAAAAAAATATAAAATAGATCAGATATAATTATATATGTACACATTCTAGTGTCTTTAATGAGTATTTACATATGTAAAGTACAGCGATGATGATAGAACAAGACATGGTTTCGCTAAAACATACTGAAATTTTATTTCTATGTTGATCGTCTTGGCTGTCTGAGCTGATGCGTTGTTAATGAGTATTTACATATGTAAAGTACAGCGATGATGATAGAACAAGACATGGTTTCGCTAAAACATACTGAAGTTTTATTTTTATGCTGATTGTCTTGGCTGTCTGAGCTGACAGTAAAGTATTTGATGTTCATTTGATTTTTAATCTGTTTCAGAAATGAATCTGATACTGAAAAAAAAGAAACTTGAGTATGTATTATGTTATTGTAACTGTCAGTAGATGAAAATTGAGTTTCTACGTTGAAATATCTCACTGTTGAAAAAAAAATGTAAGTTTTCTTTTGTAGGTCATACAGAGAGACGATATTTTCGTCTTTTCCATTACTATCAATCATTCTCACTTTTAAGATAGCTTTTACGTATGTCTTTCCATGAAATACAGAAGTCTTTGTCAATGTCTATATGTATTCTGCGTATAATAACATCCTATGCATTCGACAAGATACGAGATAGTATTAAAACTTCTTTGAGGATCAATTAACATCATGACAAAAGTTATAATTAGAATACAAATGGAAAACAACTACGTAGAAAATCTTTTTCATTTTAATTTTTTTGCCTAACCATGAGCATTAACAAAATAACGGTGTGCACGACTGAGTTTCTAATTTCAATTTTTCTTTTCTTTTCTATTTAGTATTAACAAAGGAGGATCGCCTGCTAGTTACAGGACGTCTAGAATGTCACGTCATTAATTCTTTTGTGAGCTTTGCATCATGGGACGATTCGATATTTTTTAATTTATTCTTATAATTATCATATTATTAAAGATGTATTGTATAAAATTCGTTTCCTTACATCAATTGCGTGACATTATATAGCTGAAGTATCACAAGCAAAATATTATGACCGAGTAGAAAATTAGAATCTGTAAATTTTCTTCTCGTGTTGCAGTTATGTTAAAAAGTAAGAAATTATCTCCAGTAGTCTTCTCTCCTAGAATTTAGTAATGGAGCTTAATAAGATCTACTGATATTTTTTAAGAGCTCTGTCTTTTCCAGCAATGTCACGTTGCCGAAATAGCCTATTTATAGATGCATAGAATCATAAGTAAACTAACACTTCGTAATTAATAATTAGTAGATACGAATTCTTCTGCTACTGATGCTCTATGTTATGTTATATTTTGTTTTAGATAATAAAGCAAAAAAATCATTAGAAGGATTTGGTTTCCGGTAAAAGATTAAACTTAAAGCATACACCAATAATACATATTTTACGTGTAACATAATAGGTAAACAAATCATATTTTTCTGACTTGTGGTTGAAGAGAATCACATATCAGCTGGATTCAATTTTTCTCCTAATTTTCTGTTGACTTTTTGTTAAAATATATAACGCTCATATGTAACAAGAACATGAGAAAGAACTAATTAGCAGCTGTTTTATTTTGCTCCCTACTGCTGGAGTTGATGATGTTGATTTTCTAACGAATAATTACTGCAGATAAACATTCAACGCCCACATTAACAAGTCTTTACTATATACAAGGATCGATAATGAATGATGAAGTTTGAATACTACTAGAAATAATTAAAATGCAAAATAAGTATACTATTTTGATTAAATTTTTTCAAATTTTATTACTGCTATTAATTGTTGTTATTGCTGATTGTACACAGGGTGTTTAAACGAATTCACAGATCTCCTCTCTCTCGTCTAGTGTGATTACGAAAGTTGTTCAGATAAAAGAAGATGTATTTATTGTTCGAATAGTACAAAGAATATCTTTTATCTAACACCAATGAAACCATTTAGTTCATATATATATATTCTGTATCTATTAGTGTTCGCACGCATCAATATAAATTAATCGTTTATGATAAATATCTAACATATTAGATGGCATATTTTAACAGTAATTGAGAATTAAGTCGTGATTTATTTATTTATTTATAAGAATAATTTTGGCACACCTTTATCAGTGATGACGAAAGAAAAGATTCGGTTTTTATTAATCATATAAACTTATCATATTGACGATTGTCATGACCTTTCAGCTGTTAACACAAACAAATACGATTGACTTATTCATAAAAGTTTAGTTTTTACCTCTATCGAAGTTTAGATAACAAGAAAGATACCGGGAATATAATTTCAATATTAAGGTTATAGTTTTCATCATCCTAGTTGATAATATGCATGTATGTCAAATAGAACGAGGAATGATCAAGGCCCATTCTTGCTATTTGTTTTCGTGTATTTCTCGTTTCTTGATTATCTTGTTTGTCTATAAACCAAGTTAAACTGTTTTATTTTGTTATTTTAGACTCAAACAATGGATATCTTTTATTAATTACCATTTATAACTATAGAAAAACGCAGAAGTACGAACGATGTAATTATTTCTTAAGCAATCATGTCTAGTGAAAGTGAACGTCGAATTTATGATCTACGTAATTTAGTCAATGGCCTTTATAATCTTGGTAAATAATCGATTGCATATTTTTATTTTGTAAAACTAGAAATTATTTATTAATAGGACAAACGATAGGTACAGGTCATTTTGCTGTTGTAAAACTTGCTCGACACGTTTTTACACAAAAAGAAGTTGCTGTTAAAGTGATCGATAAAACAAAATTAGATGAAATATCTAAAGCTCATTTATTTCAAGAAGTACAATGTATGAAATTAGTTCAACATCCAAATGTTGTTCGTTTGTATGAAGTTATTGATACCCCCAATAAACTTTATCTTATTTTGGAATTTGCTGATGGAGGTGACATGTACGATTATATTACAAGGCATGCTAATGGTCTTAATGAATCATTATCACGAAAATATTTTCGACAAATATGTCGAGCACTTAAATATTGCCATAAAATGTACGTGTGCCATCGAGATCTTAAAGTAAGAGTTTAAATATGATAAAGATATTTATTTCATCAAATAACTTGAAAATAAGAAGAATTTCTCTATGATTCATATGACAAATATGAGAATCAATCTGAACGTTGACTAGTAGTATAAGAGAAAATGTCTGGAGAAAGTTTTAGAAAACAGATATTTTCCTGGAATTATTACTAAAATGAAGTTCTAGATAAATGGGTAACCGTATTCTGGTCACAAGAATCAATGTTTGTTACAAAGTAGACAATCTACTATCGCATGGGCAATCTGAAACAAACATAACATGATATATATATATATATATATATACAATAATTAAAAGGATCCATAGTACATTATCGGGCATAGAGATTTTGTTTTATACAGAGAAGTATTCTCGATTAACTTTTTCTTTTTTAGCCTGAGAATATAGTTTTCTTCGAAAAACAAGGTGTTGTCAAATTAACGGACTTTGGTAAAACTTCAATATCTTTTTTCATATGATTTAATAATAAAGTTTTCTTCTATCAAAGGTTTTTCTAATCTCTTTTCACCCGGCAAAAAATTATTAACAAGTTGTGGATCTCTTGCATATTCAGCACCTGAAATTCTTCTGGGTGATCCATATGATGCACCGGCAGTTGGTAAATACACCAATGAAAAGTTTTCTTTTTTGTTTAGAGCGCAAACACTATCATTCTAGATATTTGGAGTTTGGGTGTGATCTTATTTATGCTGGTAACCGGTCGTGCACCATTCCAAGAAGCTAACGATTCCGAAACAGTGATGATGATACTTGACTGTTCTTACAAAGTGCCATCACATATTTCTTCTGAATGTCAAAGGTATATATAAAGCTAGAATTTGTTTCCTTCTGATATTTATTTATTTTTTATTTGTCAAAGTTTAATCTATCGAATGATTGTACGTGAGCCCGAAAAACGTGCAACACTTGATGAAGTTATATCCGATATATGGTATCGACAATGTGAAGATGACGACAATAAAGAGCAACATCGTATTGACTCTCTACGATTAATATCACACGAAGATCACGAATTGATTATTCAACAAATGATTGATGGAAATATAGCTGACAAAGAAACAATATCAACAGCTTTAAATGATAATCAATATAATCATATGACAGCAACATATTATCTACTTGCTGAGCAAATTTTATGTGCTAATTTTGACAAAGAAGAACGAAATGTTAAACGACAACGATGTTCGTTACAACCAGCAGATGATCCATTTAAAGAACAAATCGGTGTTTTTATATCGCAAACAATGAGGTGAATATGACGAATGATTATCATAGAACAGAAAAAAAAGAAAACGAAAAGTTTTAGTTTTAATTATGCTGATGTTTCTTTACCACTCTCAAGACAAAATTCCATTGATGAGGATTTTGATACTTCTTCGTAAGAACTTATGCTCGAATATAGAAGACATTAATGCTTTTATCAATTAACATTTCTATTTTAATGACTAATTAGTCTATGTCCATATCTTTATGTTTTAGTTCTACAAAAGAAAATGCATCACCGATTTTAACAACGCCACGACATTCATTTGATTCATCCAGTGAACAAGTTGCATCAGGTATTTTCTTTTTTTTTGTGTATCTCGCTTTATAGTTTTTCTCTGAAAAAGTTAAAAGATTAAATTCAATTGAAAATTTCAGTTCTTTTGTCAATTGTTCAGTTTTTATTCACAATAAGTTGCACATTATCCAGTTCAATATCTTCTGTATTTAAACATTGGTGCGCACTACTATTGATAATTAGTTGCATTTGCTTTAGTTTTCTTTCCACAGTATTTAAATTATCAAATTTTATTAACTTATTTTTTTATTCAAATAAATCACTCCTTGTAAAAGTAGGATTAAATATAATTATATAAATATTTAATCATTATGCATATTTTTATATACAACGTCAGCTAGAAAACTGTTTGATTTCAATAATTATTTGCTTTTTGCTTTTCGTTCTAGTTGAAAATGATGATGAACGACTATCTTTACAACAACGTGGAATCAATACAAGTATTCCAGGAACACCAGCACAAGCTATGAAAATTATACTCGAGGAAGATGAAAATCCAGAATCCCCACAGCTAGAGTAAGATTTAAAATAAGATTCACTTTAGAAAATATGAAAGTAGAGAATATCAAAATAACTGAAATTAATGTTCTATTGGCAACGACTCCTATTTTTGCTCTTTAAAAGGCTTCTATACGAAATAATTTAGTGTCATCATTGATAAATGGATACTTAAAGAAGCAGGGAAAATAAAAAGAATCTTGTAATTTTTAGATGAGTCTGTTTTATTTGTATAGGAAATTGCTCGAAGTTTCTCTGCTGATACTAACATATACTAAATATGGTGTTTGATCGTGGATTTTAGTAAAATGAAAGCCTGCCTCTTTTATAAGAATCATTCATTTACAAAAAAAAAACTTTTTTTTCCAAATGAGGGCTTGTGCGAAAGCTATTATTTTCATAGCTCGCGATACTAAATTCTAATTGATTTAAGTGTTCATCATTGGCTTAGTTAGAAAATATGCATTTCGTTAAGTGATCAGACACTAAAAATGAATAATCTGACATCATTGATGGATCACTTGTAATTTGATGTAATATTATCTGAAACGTTGCTTTTCTACTTGAACATATTCCTTGTATGAACTGATCAAACAGTATTGAATGCATAGGCACGCAATAAACAACGAAAAATATCAATAGTTATATTTTTTCATAAAGAAAACGCAGGTTGATAAAAGACCAAAAATGTTATCTGTTGAACCAAATTTTGTTAAGAATCTTTTTTCAATCCATGTTAACTATTCTTCATTTATAGTGTAACAGGTGCAGCTATCCTACAGTCGATTAACTTTCCAAAACTAAATAAAATTATTGAAAATGGTATATATGAAATTTTCTTTTTTGTATTTTTCCTAATTGGTTTTTGCTTTTTAAGAGGATGAAGATGATAGATCATCAGAAGCAACTGCAACTCCTCTTCTCGAAAACTCGACCACAACTAGTGGTATTCTGCGATCAAAAGATTTGCGTTCTGCAGTCGAAATAAAACGGCGAAATTTTTCTCATAGTTGCTCCAGTTCTGATAGTGAAGATAATGGAAGTAGCTACGATATGAATCGTCTTGTTAATTCAAAGCATACACGTTCACCAAATTCATTTCAAGAATCTGAATCTATAATTAAACATCGTGGCAGATCAATGAGTAATATTGAAAATATCTCACGTGAAATTCCCCATAGTATTCAACAGCAAATAATGCCAACACACAATAGCGAAAGTATGAAACGTAAAAATTTTTCACGAACGAGTTCTATTACTTCAACTAATCGTTTAATAATCAACCATGTTAATGATGGTATGAATGCAGATTTAACAAATAGTTCAACATTAATCAATGATCATACGCGTAGTTTATCAACAGAACATCGCTTTGCAAATCCATCACAAATGTCAATTGCTTCACGAACTTCCATACGTCATTCAACTCCACGTGAATCCATTGTATTTACAAAAACAGATGCACCCAATTTTATACGTTTATTGCAACAAAAACAACATCAAGATATACAGGATGTGATTCCAATTACTAATGAAACTTCTCGTTTACTATCGACATCATCAAATCTAGAACATGTTCATCCTCCGATTATTGCTGAAGAAGATATTTCATCACAAGTAACATCAACATCAACTAGAAATATAAACTCACCTTTCACAATAAATACCAATAATAATGAAACAAATTCTGATTTTATTATCCCATTAATAGAACATGATAATATTGGCAATGCCCACGCATTAAAATATCCACATTCAGTATTATCAAGATTGAAATATTCACTCACAAAACAAAAAGCAAAATCTAGTGTAGAACAGTCAACCAATATAAATGCTAAACAGAAACGTTCGTCCAATAAACATGGAGCTTGCTGTACGATTTCATAAATAGTTGCATTTTATTTTTTATATTTTTATGACTAATTTTAATTTTGCTATTCAATGTAACAAAATGTTCTAATTCTGTACAGTTGATACTATTTTTATTTATTCATATCTCTAATTGTAAATAGACTTTATCTAGGACGAATGCTTTTATTTTAGAAGTTTTAATATTACTTGAGTTTGTTTTTTAAATCAGAGTATCAATTCAAAAACAAAAAGACAGAGATACAGAGAAACAAAAACGCTTAGCTTTGTATTCTAGTGAAATTATGATTATTCATGTGTATTTTTCGTTTTGTATTAACAAATCCATAATATTTTTGTATGTGTTCAACAGACATTGTTTGTAACTGTTGTATTCATGTTTTTCTTGTAATAATCTTTGCTGGTCAGAGATATTTTACAACAAATAAAAGACCTTGTTTTTCTATGGACTCCATTGCTATCATTAATATTAGAATTTTTATTTTTAAAACTATATAGACACAGAATGACTCATTTGATATCAAAGTGAAGCAAAGAAGAATTTTATTAAGTTTGCAGTTATCATCCAAGAATTTGATAAATAGAACTCTATAAATTTATTTGAATTGCAATATTTCAGCGACATCTAATTCTCTATCCTTTTATTAATTTTCATACATTTATCATTTTATTTTACTTCACAAAGGTAGTCGTAGGTTTAACTGTAGATTTCTTGGTAATTGAATGCACGAGTCCTAAAGAAAAAATTTACGTTAAGCGTAAGCAATGTTCGTTTCTCATAATAATGTGAAGATCATTTTTTTCTTATTGATTTTTTTTAGTTCAGTACAGGCTATTGTTTCAGATGAAACATAAGCGTTTTGATCTCGAAAACCCAGAAAATTAACAATCGCTACATTTATTTCCTATGTGTCCTCATCGTGCCCGATAGCAATGTGAAATAATATTTATTTTATTGAATGTTTTTGTTATTGCGCAGTTTTTACTCAAGTAATACGTATTGAACTACATTTTTTTTATCGTAGATCACGGCTATTTCTATTAGTCAACAATCTATCAAAAACAAACACTGAATTCTAAAACTAAAATAATTTTCCTAATGAGAAACAACGCATAAACTCTAATTTCAAATTTATTGAATTTAGGCCATGTTTCCGAAATTTGTAACCTTTTCAAAAACGCAGCTGCTGTCTCATTTCCTTCGTCATACTTTCTTTGCTAGGGTAGCGATTAGTTTTTCTGTTTCCTTCCATAAATATAATGTGAAAAAAAAATCGAAAATAGCACAAATTTCATTAATAATAGGATACTAACGATTGAACTTATACAGAATCAGAAACAGATTCTCAATATTTTTTAAGACAAAAAGTAAATATTTCTTTCTGTTGAAGTGAAGACGCTGCCTATCATAATGATTCGTTTATTATTAATAAGCATTCTAGTTAGGAAACGAAAAATAAAAATCTCTACGAAAATGAAAACTAGATTGAGATAGTTAAACAAAATAGATAATTATAAGCAATAAAGAATAACATAGTAAATTGAAAATAGATGCGGTAGCAAAAAAAGAAGTAATGAATGCCAGAAGTCCTGAATTGTGTTAAGGAAATTTAACCTTTTCGTCTAGGTCGCAAAGCACGATCTCGCGCAGCTATGCTCAGTAGATAGACACTATCTGGTATCTCATTTGAATAAATCTCCAGATCGTACTTGCTAACCCACATAAGTGAATGTGGTCTCAAACGAAATTTAGCTAATAGTGCACGATTATTTTGTTGGTCAAAAATATTTGTATCAAATGAAAGTGATTCAGTTTCCATCAATAATGAACGACCGTTGAATTCGATCGTCCAATTATGTCTAAATAAGCTCCAACCTTGTTTGACGGTGCCTTTTAACCATTGCCGAGTCCGATTATCATAAATGTCGAAATCTGCTTCGTAAAGGATCATTTTTATTTTAGATTTAAGTTTCCCAATAATTGTTTTTGTTGGATAACTAACTAATTCCAGTGATTGCAGAATATGGTATTTCGATTCAATCCTATATTGGAGAATTTTGCTAGTTGGATAGTAGACCGAATATTCGTGTGCTTTGATTCCAGTAAAAAAGTCAGTAACAATTAAATATTGCCGTTTCGCAGTGTGACAAACGACAGCATGAACAATACATAATAGTAAAACTCGAAACATCGTTAAATTATGGAGGGAAATAACACAACGATTGTATAACAAGCATAGCAATTTATAAGTGAATATTTGATTGAGGTAATATTATTAATTATTTCTCAAGTGGAGCACTCTTATATTTATCAATCATCGCATCTTCGTCTTATCTACGATGATTATTCATCGTATTCACACGGAATAAATCATTGATTTGTATTCTTTTTATTTCTTCCCTGCTAGCGGCTTATTTATGAAGTAGGAAGAACAACATCGAGTACAATCAGAATGAAAATGCGCACTGGTTAGCGTTTGCAAACATGAAGCACACAATCGACTATAATATTTATCACGTGAATCGGTATACTATTCGAGAATTTCTCTCATACAAATTTTACCATTCAATGTCAGTTTCTTGTAACCAGTCTAGCATACGATTTGAACTTCGCAGATAATCTCTGACAGACGAAGGTGGCAGCCAATCAGCAAGAATTGGACCATGACCACATTCGTAGATGAGGTCACCCGTAAACAATGCTTTCTTTTTCGGATAATAACAGACGATACTTCCTTGCGTATGACCAGGCACATGTATACGACTATAACTTAGCCACCGGCATCTGAAACCGAATTCTATTAAATTTTCTTGATTGATGTGAATGAAAATGATTTTTCAACTAAATCAACTCGATACCCATTCATAATAGGGTCACATTTCGTTGCCTATACTTGATATTGACGTGAAGAAAAATCTTGATAAGATTGTTGAAAAACAAATGCGATGATTGCACGTAGTTCAATGTTTCTACCTGTCGATCATCTCGTAGACTAGTACAATCATCTTGACAAATTCAAGGTTTACTTTCATTTTCGAAATGATGTGCTCTAACACAATGATCAAAATGAGCATGTGTGCATATAACAATAAAGTCACGGTTTTGACTAATTAATTCAAGATTTTCCAAATTTTTCTTTAAATTACAAACGCCTAGACCACAATAAATGATTCAATCACGGACAGTACCACGTAGGAGCCAAATGTTGGATTGATTGTCTTAACAGAAATTATCTTCAGTTATTTTGGAATAGTGCGAAATAGAATGAAACGTCAAATCAATGGCTCATCTAGCAACGAGCTACAATCGCTCTGTGACAGAACGATAGAGCATCAATATGAGTTAGGTGTTATTCTTGTCTAAAAATATGAGAATAACAGCTAAAATGATCATGTCTCGAAACGAATGAAATAAAATAACGCAGTTCTTTAGATATTTGAATAGTCTATTCTGATAGTACTTACTTTCTCTGATAAAATACAGTAGATCATGATTTAAGTTTTCTCAAGTTCGATACAATATACAGGAGCTCTGATGAACTCTGAATGAGATGATACCAATCTTAATTTCAAATACAATCTTATTCATGCACAAGTGAACAGGAGCCATTAACGGCGACCATTTTTCTTTGAATATAAATAAGTTGCAAACAAAAATAGTACCGCCTGTTGAACGTTATTTGTTGTGTACCGTTTAATAATTTAACAAAAGTTGTGTCTATCAACTATCGCACAGCTGTATATAAACAAGACTTAGATATTCATAATAAAGTACATCCAAGATCAACATCAAATTTAATTAGTTACTATAATAGTGGGTTTATAAGACTCGGTCGGGTAAACTGAATCGAACACTTATGATCAATCTTTAGCGGTAGAAGTAGTTAACAGTCCTTATTTGATTGAATACCTTCTGTTTAAGAATTTATTGAGCATAAACCACTAAAAAGCAGTATCGATTAGAGAGTAGATTTTAAAAAGTCACAAGTTAAAGTTTTCATAGTTGACTTTATTTTTTATAACCTATTTAACTATTCTAACTATTACAATCAAATTACTGGTCACTAGTTCAGATTGATGTAAAATATGATAGCAAATATTATGTTCTAATTTTTATTTTGCGTATCGAATCGATAAGTTGATTATGGTAACTTCACTGTTGGTGACAAAAATTAAGGATGCATAATGAATAGAAAAACAAAAAAAGTAATGTGACATCTAAGAATATTAAATGTACACCATTCATCTCTTTCTATGCAAACAAACCACGGAAATATATTTGAAATATGTTCTTAGAAGTTCTTATGAGTATGTTGTGCATATAAAATAGAGTTTTCATTAATTTATCATCAATACTATTGAAAAGCTTTCCCGTTTTCATGTATGTAATCTGTCTTCATAACCATAATAAATAATTTATTGATACTTTATTATAACAGGCACACATCAGACTATATATTATGCACTGATGATCTATCTCGTGAATCAATAATGCATCATATTTTTGTTTTCTTATAGCAATACAATCCCACGAAGAAGCATTTGGTTGCGGCACCAGTTCAGCGGATCTATTATTGATAAAAATTGTTGCGATGATTTTTAATATATTGTATGGATCAAGGTCTTGTTTGTACGTTAATATTGGACCATATCGCTACTAATCAATTTTTGATCAATTTCATCGATTATCATTGACAATCTTAATTCAACTGCCACATATATATTAAATGAAGTATTTTATTCAAGATATTTACATTAAAGACAAAATATTTTTATTTTTCAATCCTTGTTTATTATCAAAAACTAATGACAATTATTAAAAAAAAAGTTGAAAGAAGAAAAAACAACTTATTGTGTATCACAAAAAAAAGCATCAAAAGATTTCATGCACAACAAACACACTTCTCACCATATGTAAATAGAGAAAAGAAAGTGTTTGTGTTGGCGACAGGCACAAAAAATTTAATCTTTCAAACGTTCGCATTTGTTTCGTTTTTTTCCTCTTAGCTTCACATGGCATCACGTAACGATTATAAATATTCATCCAATGAGGAAAAAAATGCAAAGAGATCAAATGGTCAGGTGCAACCGAATGATGGTCGAAAATTCAATCCATGGGATTTTGAAAATCCTTGGTCTCATGGTTTATGTAATTGTACAGAACAATGCGATGAAACATGTTATGGCATGTGGTGTTTTCCTTGTTTTGCTTGTCATCTAGCTTGGCGTATGAATGAATCTTGTTGGATGACTTGCTGTGTACCTGGCTATTTAGCTGTGTTAAGAACAAAAATGCGGACAGCATTTCGTATTCGAGTATAGTAAAATAAAGACGAAATAACTAATTAATTATTTTAAATGTTTTTAGGGTTCGTATTTATCTGATTTTTGTGCTGCTGAATGTTGTCCGTGTTGCACAGCATTCCAAATGGCTAGTGAATTACGTTTTCGAAGGCTGGCTGGTTAATATTGAGCATGGTTTTCTTTTGTCAATAAAACTAACTTAAAAGAATTCATTTTTACAATAAATTTTAAATAAGAAATTTTCTTGCGATCAATGAATTATGCCTGAGATTAACAAGATACAGATGCAAGATACGGTCTCACGCATGTCTTATTATTTCGTTTTATTCAGTATGCAATTCCATGCTCAATTAAAATAAACACGCTATACCGACACAACGGTATCAATCTTTTCCATGCATGTATATAAGCATTGCCAACAGGCAAATGTTCAACTAAGTTTCCTAAAACCTAAGTAACATCCATGATGATTGATGCTAATAATAGCGGAAATGCTGCAACGTTTTCTCTATTTTTTCTTTCTAGAGTCTCTTTCATCTATTATTCTAGACAATCATGAGCTTCGTACGACATAGTCCTGAATAAATCGTAGTCTTAGTATTTTCTTGATCTCTCTCAGTCACTTTTGATTTCCCGTGCTTTAGTTCTTTTTCTGAAAGATTGACTGTTTCATTAACCATAAAAAGGCTTTTGTTATTCAATGCATACTGATTTTTCTATCATCATTCACTACGAGGATTTTAGTTGCCGATTTTTATGTTCATTAAGAAATGTTCATTGTTTGAGAGAATAATTACAGTATTTTGATAAACATTATCAAAGTTCATTTAGTCTATTGGTTAACTGAAGAAAATATCACAAAAGAAAAAGAAAAATGTTTTCGTCAAAATTATGATTTTTCCTAATAAATTAATGAGCAAATGTAAATTTTCAGCTTAATACGTAATAATAAGTTTTAATCATATTGTACGTAGTCACTAAAGGATTAAAAACTATTTATTGACACATAATATTTCATGTAGAATAAGAGAGGAAATCTTTCTGGGAAAAGAAAACACTCTAAAGTTGGAACAATCAAACATAATTGAAATATCACTATAAAACAGAGACTGCTGCTGATTCTGCGTGAGTCACTTATAGAAGAAAAGCATGAGTAGAAAAAGTCATTTGTGCTATTCTTTGTCTCGCATTATAGTATTCATTGCATTTTTATTCAACAGAACGAATATAAACCATAACTAGCGCAAACCAAGGTTTGATCTTGTTACAATGTAGAAAGTAGTATTGAAGAGAAAATGAAAGATTTACTTCAAATAAATTCTTTCTGTCGTCACTCTAATCCTGCCTGTAATTTTTATATAGTTACAATCTGAGTTTTTTTCTTTTTTTTTCCTGTAAACAGAGCGGTTACAGAAAACTTCGCTACGAGAGACCATACTGTTTGTTCGCTCAATCGCAATCGTATTGTATTCCTATTATCGGTTAAGCATAATATAGTACTTCATTATTCACTCATCGAACGATCGAATAAATCGTTAGTATTTTCTGTTACAAAATTAACAAATACACAAACGAGGGTATTTCTATTAAAAAGTCGTCCTTTTAGTGGAGTGCATGATAGTAAGGTCCATTTTTGTTATTGTTAATAACTTTATGTCCCAACAGTATTTCTACTAGAATTGAGCGCGTGATGAAAAGCGAACGAGAGAGATACATAAAAGAAGAAAAACAACACTAGGGATAAGAGACTCATAGGCAAAGACGCAGATACAAAATCAAGAAACTCGATAGAGTGAAGAAAAAGGAGAAAAAAATTATTACGACGAGACTTTTCCACATGCATTTACATGCATCTTTTCTATTTTTTTTTATCATGAACGCCTATTCTTTTGTGTTCTTTTTATCCTAGTCGGCCATATCCATCCAAAATATCTATGGCATCGCCAATGGATACATTTAAAAACAATCTTTTTGGTCAATTGAAATCATACGGTGATACTGTTCAAGAAATTTTTGAACAGCGTATTGGTAAGTTTACTGATTGCATGTCAAAACAATGAAAAAATAGTTAGATTAGTAGACTTTCACGCTAACATTGATTGCATTCAGTATTCTTGATTCTCATGAGATACGCAGGTATATTAAAATATACGTAGGCAGTATTTGTTCCGAGAGCTGAGAAGTTTGGACTTTGCTCTTCGCTCGTAATAATGTAAAATGTAAGTACTTGTCAGTATTTGTATGCTCTTCTAAAAAATAATAGAATATTGTTGATTCTGAATTTTTAGCTCGCCCATTACTTGCATTGAAACGAGATCTTAGTCGACCAGCATCTTCAATTCATACTGGATCTCCACAGGAATCCGTTATACGACCAAACCAAACATCATTCATTAAACAGCAAGAATCAGTACTACCATCATCATCGCCAATTGAAATAATTGATATTGAAACAAGTGCTTCATTGGAAACAGTATTTGATAAAGTCAATTATACATTATCATCACCAAAACGGTGTACATCAGAAGATTCTTCAACAGATGATTCAATTAAGCCTACTAGAGAATATCGTCATGCATCTATTTGCTCTCTATCGAATAGAAATCATCCTAGAAATTTGCTACGTCATAAAAGTGTTTCATTTGTTGATAATAATATTCAATATCATAATAATGATGATGATAATAATAATGATAATGGCACTGATAGAAATAATCAATATTTAATAGATGAACCAAGAGAAATTCTTGCCAATGCTCATGCATGTGACCATAATATTTTAATGCCAAGAATTGATGAAAGAACAATACATTCGATAAATTTCTCGGATACATTACCAATTTTGAATGATCAGGGTCATAATTTTAAACGTGAATTCTATCAATCAGTACGACCGCGAAGAATTTCAATTGGTAATAGTCATGATTTAATTTATCAAGATCTATCAGCTGAAATCGTTTCCTATGTATTGAAACATGCATTACGAATGTTAGAAAAAGAAGATGAAGATTTGTTGTTAGCAGAAAATGGAAAAACTATTAATACAAATGAGTATCATGAAGATTTTATTGATTTAAAATAACAATTAAAAAAATTGTTCATTTCTTTTTCTTTTTATTCTTTGTCACTTCTATATTTCCTGAAGTTATATAAATCATGCTATAAAAATTCAAGATTTAATAAAATCGATGGGATAAAGTAAAAAAATTCTTCTATTCATCTTGTTTGATTTTGCAAAAAAAAAGATCGCTGTAAATAAGAAGACTTTCATTTTATCTATTATCCCGAAATAATATGATTATATCGTTGTTATATAAATTATGCATAACGGCCTTCTGTTATCTAAAATGATTTCTTTCTATAGACCCTAAAGAGAAAAAAAGCAAGGGTTATAATAATATGATGAAACATTTTATTGATTAGGCTTTTAGACTTCTATACACAGGAAGCGTAGTTTAAAAGAGCATCAATCATTCGCAAGAAAAAAAATATGAGTGTTATATAGGACTCCTTTTATTTACTATTTATTTTGATGATATACAATTGTTTCGCTTTTCTTTACTAACTTCATAATGTGAGAGAGTCAAGCAGTTTTATCGTTACTTTGACATTGACTATTTATGTCAGTATGAAAGCTTTATTCCTCGGAAACTAAACGTTCAATTGTCATCTCTCTTGACATTAATGATCAATACAAATCAGAAGCATTACATTGAACAATCACAACAACGATCTTCATTTTGCAAACATAAACAAAAACGCTTTGTATCATCAATTTTTGTGAACATTTTCGAATGAAAAGAATTTCCTAAACTGAACTATGTACGTTTCTTCGAAATGATTCATAATCAGCGACTATTGAATACTCACGAAATATGGACAAGAAGACCCTTTGTTTCACTTTCTATTCAATAGTTGCAACAAGAGCAAATGTGTAATGTCTACTAAACGAGTTTGTGATAATGCAATAAACCATTAATGGCATGCAAATTATTCATCAAAGCGAAAGAATGGTTACATTAGTCGATCATATTTTTTCTGTATTCTACCATTAAATCCGATGATAAATCGATTTCCAGATTCATTTTTTATGATAGATATTTTATCGATGATTGATTTATCAGCTAATCTGAATTCTTTCAGTACAGTTTGTGTCAAAGACAATGTACGGTGAAGAGGAACTTTACTGTAATTGTTAAAGTTAATGATCAATTAAAATCTCTCACTATATTACAAAAAGCTTTGTTCACATATAAAAAGAATTTAAGAACAAAAACCAAATCAATTATATTGGATGATATTTTTTCATGACATTGATTAAATCTTGATATATTATTTTGTTTGCTGTTGATGCCCAAACAAAATCGAAGTGATTGTAATTTGGAATATATTTTTCGTAGACTAAACTTTCGATATTATCAAAAATATAGGCAACATCAGTTGGATCAGCAAGCCAATCTTCACCTGCCCAGAATATTGCTGTTGGAACTTTCATTGGACGAATAGAATATATAGGTGGAGTTGTTTGATTGTAGCGCAATTGATTTTGCTCTGCAGAGCCGTAATCATAAGCCTGAAATTGATTTGATCGCCCACATTGCATGAAATGAACCATATTTTGCACAGATGTTCCTGATGGTCCATGTGATGCATAGACAGGAACACGTGAAGCATTCAAATTTTTTCTATCTGGTCCACCAATAATAAACAGCATATTTTCACATACTAATCGATCGAAAAAGAATTCTCCACAAGCAAATTTTCCAAGCCATTGCAAAATATTTGATGCTGGAAGAAATTCATTGCGACCAAATAACTTGTGCCAGTATTTTTCTAGCTCTTTGCTATCCGTATCCAAGTATTTTAAAGGTGTTTTTTGATGTCCTACTTGAGCAATTGGTGCCAGTGCTGCCCAGAAACTAACATTCTTTTGAATATCATTGTTCAACTTTCCAAATTCAGCGAAACCAATGAGTGTTCCTTGTGAATGGCCAACATAACCGATTTGTGTCTGTTTGGTTTGATTTAAAATGTAATAGATCATTGATGGAAGATCATCTTGTGCCATATCATCCCAGCTGAAATCCCAAAAAGCTTCATCGTGATCAGGATCGTATTTAACATGAGCACGAGAATAACGATTTCCTCGTACATTGCCAAGCCAAACATCGTAGCCAGCATCAGCAAGAATGAAACCAAGACTTTGTTCAGGGAAATTAATTACCCATGATGTAGCTGAATCGAGAAGTCCATGTTGAAGAAGAACAGGTCGACCTGGCGTTGTTGATGATGCATTTTGGCCATGTGGAATACGAAAAACACCAAGAATGTAACCGTCGGCGGTTGTTACTTTATGTTCTTCCCATGGATAACCTTTACTTTGAATTAATTGTGTAATATTGTAATCACACTCGGGATCAATCTTTGAAGCTGATAATATTACTACAGGGTAACATATTAGCAAGAAAAAAGAAACTGAAAAAGCTAAAATTGGGAAAATGAAAGACAGAGGACCAATCGTTCAAGATTCAGGTCATTTAAAATTGACTTACTGAACATCATATCCGGCGAAGCTATTTTATTTGTTATCACAGCGTTCGAAACAATGATAAAAGGTGTTGGTATGTTTTTTCTTATCGTTAAATTTGAAGCATGTGACTAATAAAACAGAAAATAATAGTATCAGAGTATCACGTTTCTTAAATATTTTCAAAATTAATATAATACGAACTGAGAATTTATTCTGACGATCGCAATGACTATTAAATGAGGAGACAAAATAAATGTATAAAATGTCTTTCGATTTTATAGCCTATCGCTTAAAAAAATGAATTTATATAAATTGCACAGAATTTCTCTCAAATTGTTCAAATCTGTGCGGCTGTTGAACTGGTTTTATGAAATTTTTTCACCGATTCAAGTGTCAGTTTTCAGTC